TAGCTCTGGATCAGACCCCAGTTCTGAATCCGAAACTATTGCCCGCCAGCTAAACCTCACTTTGAAAAAGGAGCATAGCGACGAGGGAGTAGTAATTGCTTCGGAGTCCCCAACTAGTGCTGGGTTCAAGTCTGTGTGCTCAATGGCAGTGTTGAGTAAGGGGAGGCGCAAGTTGATAACCAAAGGTATCAACGAATTAAGGGACCACGACAAGGCCCTTAAACGCCTGTTAGATGTAAGCAACGTAGGAACCACTGTTGGTCCTAAGCACATCGTTGTTTTCACTAGCGAGCCCCAACACTTCCAGGACCCAATGATCCACTGCATCAACGTGGGCCTGAACGCCACGAGCGCCTGGACACCAAGTGGTGCCAGGAAGGAGCTGCAGTCTGTGGGTCCTAGTTTAGTCATAGTAGCTATAAGGTATAAGGACCCGATAGATGGCCTTAATCACTCCGACCTTATAGATGAAGTTGTCAGCCACTCCGAAGCATCCGGAACACCGTACCTGTTAATGGACAGTGCCCAGACCTATAGGTGGCAGGAAGCTAGCATTCCTATTCAACCTGTATACGGAGTAGGCGACATTTCCTACTATGGCAACGACAATGGCATTATGGATGTATTTGATGGTTGGACCACAAATAGCTATCCCTATATGGCGCCGTTGAGTTTTGACAATGTGTTTTCCGTAGATTTCGTTGTGTGGCTTCGACAAATAGCAGAAGACCAAGTAGCCACTGCACTTGTTTCCCAAGAAGCCTTTCCGGCTCTTGAGGCCGACGAAGAACCCTTCGATCAGGTGGAAGAACCGCGCGATTTCGCTTTGATGGACCCCTCCGAGGAGGCCATCGAGGAGGAAACTCGCCTCGACAACGTCGATTTGCGGGGATTACCCATAGAGGAATCCGAGCGTCGGGCGAAATGGCGAGCAGTGCCACAGCGGATACGCATAGCGATCCGACGGCTACATCGCCAGTTCGGCCATTGCCCTAAGAAGGTTTTAGTTAACCTCTTAAGGACCGCTAGAATCGATAAGTCGTACATAGAGGCGGCTCAATTTCATAGGTGCAATGAGTGCGAAGACGCACAGCCTCGTAGAAACGCGCACACCGTATCCATGCCGGAACGGTATTCCTTCAATCACGCCCTAGGTATTGATATCTTCGAATGCTTAGATGCACAAGGCACAAAGTACCAAGTTATGAATATGGTGTGTTTAGGGACGTGTTTTCAGCTTGCAGAGACCGTACGCGTAGGCGACGGGTTGCCTTCATCAGCCCGGTGTCTAGAGGCCATCCAACGCCGTTGGACAGCATGGGCTGGTATGCCGGCGATCATACGGTGCGACCGAGGTCTACATAACCGCGGGGTACTAGCGCAGTTCTGCGCGGCTCATGGCATCCAAGTACACCACGCGCCATTGGAAACACCCGAGTCGATTGGCCGAGTGGAACGCCACGGCGGGATCCTGAAAGCGATGACTAGAAAGGTAGTATCGCAAACACAGGCCGTAGGCGAAGTGGCATTACAGACAGTCTTGGATGAGTGTTGCCTCACCAAGAATAGCATGCTGAGACATGGAGGTTACTCCCCATCTCAGTGGGTACTCGGGAAGACGCCGCGGGGACCTCCATCTCTAGTAGAGGAGGATAACACCGCAGATCTTGGATCGTTAAACGACCAAGTTGATCCCGAGAGTCGTTTTGCCCTAATCCATCAGGCTCGGACGGAAGCCAAGAAGGCTTTTGTCCATTTGGACACCTCGAAACGCGTGCAGCGTGCACTTCTCAGGAATGCGAAACCGCTGCCGTACACGTACTCGGTGGGAGACGTGGTTTGCTTTAGGCGGGATAAAACAGGTAAAACTGTTTGGTCTACCGCGTCTAGAGTAATCGGTTTTGAGGGTAGCCAGAACGAGAGCGTGTGGGTTTTGTGTCAGAACGTACCGGTTCTAGTGTCCGCACAGAATCTTAGGCCTGCGCAAGATGCCGAGGCACTTGCACACGCAGTTCTCCAAGGGGAACCCGTGCTGCCAGAAGAACTGGTGCGCGGACAGCAACACTTCGAGGACCTCAGAGATGCACCTGGTGGTGACATCGATGATGAGGAGCCCGAAGAAGGACCTTCGGAAGGTACACCTCAAGAGGAAGTCGAAGAACCATCCTATGGTCTTCTGGACGGCCCAGGACCACTCTCATCAATCTTCGAGGATGAGGAGATGAATGAACAACCAGAGCGACCGGAGAGAGGTAGATCTAGATCACCTCCACCAGCATCATCTTCGAGGTCCCGACGGGTCAGTACAGCTGAACCCGAGGCAGAAAGAACTCCTAATCCTAGCAGGAGAGGAAGCAGATCAGACCTCCTGGACGATCTGCCGGCCCCTATTAGGTCACGTTTTGAGGAACGTAGACACGAGGAGGAAGCAAACGTGAGTATTCGACAGAAACTCCGTGGCTTTTGGTCTAACCGGTTCTCTTCCAGAGAACAGGTTGAGCAGGAGCTCAAGGACCTCCCCGAGGCCTTGAAATACTGGGAATGCACTCCAGCAGTCCGCCTGCGGATCGATGGATCACGCGCTAAGGAATGGAAGAAATATGAGGATTTTCAAGCGGCAATTCCGCTGAAAGGAGCGCAGCTTAAGGAACTATTAGACGCTGGTCATACGCCGATACCATCTAAATGGGTCGACACTATTAAGAACTATCATGAACGTCTTAAGCCGGATTATGAACCTGAGTTCAAATCCAGACTGGTGTCCTGTGGAAATTTTGAAGATTCCACAGAGGTTCGCACGGACGCGCCAACCTCAGACCTCGAAACGCATGGCCTAGTATCAGCGTTCGCCGCATCCAATGGAGTCCCTGTAGAATCGTCAGATATTCGCAACGCCTACTTTCAGGCCGAGCCAATAGACAGGGTTGTACTTATGAGACAACCTGGCGGAGGACTTCCAGGAGTGGATCCGGAAGCGATGCTCCTGATCAGAGTACCGGTATACGGACTCTGCGATAGCGGCAGAGGATTTTGGAGGAAAGTCGACCGAGAAGCACGTGAAGTCGGCTTCCAGGTAAGCAGGATTTTCCCTGCATTTTACTTTTACCGCGCCGCCGGAAAAGTAGTCTGTGTCTTGACAACACATGTCGATGACTTTTTATGGGCATCGATAGGCAAGGGCGGAACTATCATAGATAAGCTCCTAAAGAAGTTCGAAGTAGGCCGCCGCGAGTCGGGGAGACTACGCTTCTGCGGTAAGCAATTCGACATATCTGGAAAGGACGTGTTAATCGACGTTACCGATAACACGAACAAGATCACCTACATTGATGTCAAGGCAGGAAGGAAACACTCGGATCTTATTGACCGAGGTGAGGAACGTCAACTACGTTCTGTAGTCGGCAGCCTTTCGTGGATTTCTAGGCAGGCTAGGCCAGATATCCTATACCGCGTATCGAAGCTTCAGAGCTCGATAAAAGGTGCAACTGTTAGCACTCTTCATGAGGCCAACAAAGTCCTAGAACTTGCCTTAAAGGGTCGCGACCTTAAGTTAAGATACAAAAATGGTGCTTTTGATTTCGAGAGCCTGGGCGTACTGACAGCCTCAGACGCTAGCTTTGCGGGTGAAAAGGGAGACCGATCACAACAAGGACGGATCCATTTTCTCGCTCCAGCTGCCCAGCTTCGCGATCCAAATTGTAGTCGTTACGACACAATGATCGTGTCGTTCTCATCCACCACAATCAAAAGAGTATGCAGAGCAACTCTTCAGGCTGAGACTTACGCACTCCAAAGTGCCCAAGAGGCAGGGGATCGCATAAGAGCAGCCCTAGCCGAAATCTACGGATTCGGTAGTAGTGGTCCCGATTGGGAACTTCGTGCGAGAACACAGGTTCCGCACATAGCGCTGACGGACTGCCGCAGCTTAGCCGATCACCTCAACACGGAGGCTCCGTCCCGTGTGCAAGACAAACGATTGCAAATCGAGCTTAGCGCTCTTCGCCAGTCTATCTTTACAGAAGACGGCAAGCGCACGGTTGAGGCCTACCCTGCGGGTGGAGATAGAGTGGACTGGGTCGATACAGCCACTCAAGCCGCTGATTGTTTCACAAAGTCCATGAAACCGGATTTCATCATAAAGGTGATTGAATCTGGTGAGTACAGTATTAGTCGAGCTAAGCTGTAGACGTAGATTGCAGACGCTACAATCGTGGGCATACGTTGTATGTACCATAGTAGCTGAGTCGGGGCTAGGGTAGCATGCAGACACCACTTCCGGAGGACAATGCCTATTGTACCTCATGTGGTTAATTTAGATTTTCCTCGATGTCATGGCATGAGAACAGGTTGAGTGTGAATGCACCCTCTGTTGTACATGTACAGGAAGCCATGGCCATGACATGCATGTGTTAACTGTATATATTTCCCGCTGCCGTTAGGGCCCTTGAGTCATATTCAGATAGCTTCGCAGTCGGCGAAAAGATCCACCAGTTTTCTCAAACCATCCTTCAAAAGCCACTGCAGACACTGTGCACAAGAGCAGATGGCAGGCCTCCTGTGCCCTAGGCAGCCATGCGCCCAAAATGTGACCGGCCCGAGCATTCAGGGTGCGTCGGGCCCGGTGGCTGAACCAGATTGGCAAAAGGGGGCTTTGGGCTGGGAAGCTTCGCGTTGCCTTTTTCTGGCAAGCCCTATTGTTTTATCTGCGGTGTCATTACGGATGTATCTTGTCGTCAACATCATGTCATGTTGCACAGGTTGAAGCGCTTCGCCCTTCTTCACAACTGAAAGGCAAGACGCAGGAATGTCCTGAACCCCAAAAGCCATGCCTTGAATCACTGAGCCATACAAACCACAACCTCAGCACCTCAAGCTTCAACTCTTCAGCCACCAGAGGAACAAACTCGCCGGCAGCAAGAGGCCGTAAGCCTGGGTTGCTAAACCACTGAACCAAGGCCAAGACCCTTTGTGCCCAAGCCCCAGTCCCAATGTCATCTCAGGACATGCTGCTGACCAACCCTCCGCCTATAGAGGAAATGGCGGATTGGGATGTTGAAATGCGTGTTTTGTCGCTAGCCTTTGGATCTTGACCATAGTATATCATGGTCTTCTGGGTTCGGATGGAGGCCTAGTGGGTTTGGTACGTTTCTGTTAGTTTGCGGGTACCTGCTTGCTCCGAGGCTCCAATGGCATTGATGCTCAGGGTTTCTCCAAGCCCTCCAACTAAGGCCCCAAGCACTCTCAACTAGTAATCTTAATTAGCCAACTCTTCCGTCTCTAGAAGAATGACACTCGGGCCCAGCGGCTGCCACTCCTTCCCAAGCTTTTCCTTAACTTGCTTTATGACGAGACCCTCCCGCCCGAAACCTTATAAACCCTAAACCCTATAAACCCTAAACCCTATAAACCCTAAACCTTGTAAACCCCAAACCCTATAAACTCTAAACCCTATAAACGCTAAACCCTATAAACCCTAAACCCTATAAACCCTAAACCCTATAAACCCTATTATAAACCCTATAAGCCCTAAGCCCTATAAACCCTAAACCCTATAAACCCTAAACCCTATAAACCCTAAACCCTACAAGCCCTGAACCCTACAAGCCCTAAACCCTACAGAGGAAGGAGCCTCCGTCCCCTCTACCTCTGGGGCTAAGCTGGCGCAGCTCTTGGCCATGGGCTTCGAGGAGCCGAAGGCCAGGGTGGCCCTGGAGATGCCCCGCCGGCTCCTTTTAGCATAGCTTTTTTTTGGTGAAGAGTTTTGCTGCATGTTTGTGAAGAGTTTTGTTGAATATTGTAAATAGTTTAGTCGTAGAAGGAAGTACTGGTAACATCGGTAGGATAGTATTTACGGTATGAGAAGAACGACAATGAGTGATTGCAAGGACTTATTCTGGCGACTTTTCGAGCAGGGTTACGTAGCATGCTGCTAGCCAAGGCACCGTGGAAACGTAGAAGCCGCTGCGGAGGCGCTGATTCAAGAACAGGAGGTGGAGGCGCAAAGAGACAGTTGCAAGGTGGTTGGAGACCGTGATGGCTTCCCGCGAGCCTAATCTGTGCAAAACATTGGAGGCCTTTCGTTCTTCCGGGCTTACACCCCAAGCATCTTAGTGACGAATTCTGTGTTGCTTGATCCATCCTCCTCGCAGGTCGAGGGCTACCATCCGGCCACACCAAGGACACCTCCTGAAGTTCTTGAGGCCCGAGCAGATCGTGAGCAAACAAGCCCGGAGTGTTGCTCCCTCGTTGGACCTCGGACTCTAGTTACCGAGCTCAACACTCACACCTTTCACGCTGAACTCCGCGATTGGCTATCGGCATGGCGGAGCTATTCTTCAGCTCACAGCTCGCTCTGAGCGCTGACCACCGCCAGGGAAGCAGTAGAGCCTCTGCTCCGAACCGACGGCCCAAACTCCCTGAGCCCGCAAGCCTCCTGCCAGGTGGAGGACCACCAGCCGCCGGCCGCACCGAGGACACCGCCTGAGATGTTCGAGGCCCCAAGTGCTTGACCCAGAGTCCTGGGTGGACAACTGATGACTTTCACGCGTTCCAGGAGCATGGTTATGGTACTGGGCAGTAGACATCGGTCTGCTTGGTGTGGTGCAAGCGGGCGCTCACATACTACCCAAAGCCCTCAAGATCTCCAAGCCGCCCAAGCCTGCCCAAGACTTGGAGGCTGGACCTATTGCCGGAACCTCATCGGCACGAGCGAGTCGAAGCGCCAGCGGAAGCCCCCCCAAGAAGAGGAGGAGGTGCGGGAGCTTGGAAGAAGACTCCGGCAGGCTCTCGGGCGAACTGGGAGCTGCTGGGAATTGCTGGGTTCAAAGATCTAATTAAGGCGCCCCAGTTTCCGAGTGTGGGAGTTCAAGGCGGCAAAGGTTTCTACGCTTTTTGTCGGGTAGGTTTTCGTATGTTAAATCGCTAGATGCTCCCCGTGTCGGTGTCCAAGTACGAGTGCCAGCCCTGCCTGCGCGCAGGAAATCCTGTTGGTTCTGAGTTTTTCACACTGTTAAGCCCTGAACCCTAAACCATTGAACAACTTCCACACGTCTCGAGGGAAGAAATCCTGAACCCAACTGTCAGGAGTCTGGTCGACGAGGTCGAGGAGCCGGTGCTCGCGCCGCCCGCGGACAAAAAGGCCGACGCCTCTGCAGAGGCACCAGCCTCGGAAGCGGAATCTTGGCTTAACGTTGTGTTTTCATGTCACCGTCACTGAGTGTTTTAAGTTGCGGGTTCTCCGCTTTCCGGGCGAACTTCGGAGGCCAACTCTCTCGGCGTGGACGCTTTCGCTCCGCGGCTGCAGTTCGCCTCTGAATCCTTTGGCCCACTGCGGCGGAGACCTGCATCTTAGCCGCAATCGCAGGCACCGAAGGGTTTAGGGCGAGCCATAAATTGAAGCGCCTTTTTGCTGCCAGTTTTCCATATCTTCAGCATTTGTCCCAGTTATCATCAACAATCCACAACACACCTCTTGGTTTTGGGGTAGTGCTGTGGCGCGACTCGAGTCTAGAGCATGGCAGGAGGAGAAGCGACAGCTAGCGGGGTTTGCTCCGGATTTGTGTGCGTTCAAACTCCTGTTACGGGTCACTATTATGCCGATGGTGCATATTCGTCATGCAGCAGCTGCTGCGGTTTGGGTATTCAGCCAGAGAAACCCGGAACCCAAAACAATTGCTCGAAGCGCTTTGCAAAGGGGATGTCAAGAGCCAGAAAGCGCGAGGTGCGGGTTCGCGAGGACCCCGAGCTTCACGCGAGGGTGCCCGAGTCCTTTGGCTTGCGTTTTTTACGATGTGGGGGATGTGAAGTTACAGTGGAGTGTGGGGCTACGGGCTCCGGGACTCAGGGCTGGGAGTTTCAGCGATTCGGGGTGTGTCTCGCAGTGTTTGGGCGGTTGGGGTTGGGATGCATCAAATCACGGTTTCTTTCAACTCTGGAAGTTGCAGTTCCCTGCCCTTGAAAAACCAAAAGCCCTCGCTGTAGCCACATAATAACGGAATATGTGAGAAATTTGGGAAACTGTACCTGGTTTGACGTTGCTTGTAAGCAGGATCCGAATACTTGGGATTTGTATCAGAGTCTCTTACTTCGAAAGCTCCCGTAACCATTTCTGGTTCGATGCCTGCATTGGCATCTGCAGCAAGGATGACCCGAGCCTCGGTGCCCGGCAACCAGGCTATGAATTCAGCCCGCATCCACAACACGTGGGACGTCAAGGTTGAGCAGTTTGCCCGTTCCATCATTTTGATTATTACTACTAGTATTACGATGACTAGGCACTTCAGCAGGCAGCCGGGAAGAAAGCCAAACCGGGAACGCTGAAGCTTCGAGTGAGGATCGGGCTGGAGCAGCTATTTGTGAGGCTTCTGCTTCCAACACCCGCCACTTCTTCACCCCAAGGTTTCGTCTTCATGGTCTGTAAGTCTGTAACCGGCGTCTTGGTGCTTTTGGGCCCCTTCTCTTGTCCAGGCAGCTGAGACTCAAGACTCAAGAGTCGCACTCGCAGTTTCTGCAACCTCGGACTTTTCCAGCCTCCCTAGGGGCCCTTAGCAAAGTCGCTCCCCGTCCCCAAGATTTTGAAGCCAAGCTGTTAGGTGTGGAGAGATGGAAGGGGGAGCGAGGGCAGAAGCGTGTCCTGGACATGCTCTCAGATTGCCCCTGGGCTCACACATTGGGAAGTTCTGGTGTCTCAACTCTGACACTGGAGCAGAAGGCAAAAGGCTGAGGATTTCAGGTGCAGAATGGTTCGTGGCGTTCGGACCTCCCTAGACCCAAGAGTTGGAGCTACAAATGCTTGGCATTCATGCTTCGGGATGGACTCGGTCTTGTCCTCTACTTACTTCGGTCAGCCAACCCAACCAGCCCTCAACTACCATCTGCTGAATTTCAATCCTCAAGTCAAAGTGCTGCTCTCGACCCTAAGCCCACACTCCTGCGGTGGACCAACTCCTCAATGTCGACGTCGCTGGTAGCAGAACTGAGGCTACATGCAGGGATTGTGGATGCTTGGGCCACCCTCTGCTCCGGCTAACAAGGACTGACTTGGTGAAGGCTGTCGTTCGTTGGCGAAGTCTTGCAAGTTTCCGGGATTCACATGAACACATACCTCCACATCGCCAATCAATCCGAATGGTCATTTTTGTATGTAAGCTAGGATACAAAGATGCATGGACATTGTGACGCGCGTCGTTGCGGAGTGGTGTCTGTCGTTTCGTTTCTTGAACTGTCATCGCAGTCCTCGGGTCTCAGGTGTTATGCCTCCAAGCTACTGGTACCTATGTCTGACAGTCTTGTATACTCAATGGCTTCAGAGAAGTGCATGCTGCGATGTGCCTGTGTCGATGCCCTCAAACATTACTCAGGTTCCAACTGTCGGAAAGAAACTAATCAAACGTCAAAGCGACGATACGAAACTAAAGCACGCCGGCGTAATAAGTCTGCAGTTTTCTGAATACTCGAAGAAGCATTCAGTGCTGGAAATTGGGAGAGCTCAGTGGCTTCGCAGGAGATCGTTCCGGCTTTCCGCCACATCTTTGCCACCCTCCAGCCGTTGGGCGCAGAGGAGACAAAGTAAGCATGGAGAGATAAATCTACGGTGCCTTCTGAGTTCTGCGCCAACAACGTCTGCCAACTTCAGATGCTGTGCCTTTCGCGCTTTCGACCCGAGTCGAATCCTCAACCTGAGTAGAGCCGTGGCACCGGCAAAGCAAGCCTCCTCAGCCGCTCGCATAGCCTAAATGGCAACGCATGCGCGTTCGACCCTAAACCCGAATTACACCTCCGAGCTACTACCAGTTAGAGCACGAAAACGCCAAAGCGTGTAAAGCCCTAAACTCCTAAACCGTTAGGCCCTGAACACTGCAGCCCCAAACCCCAAGCCGTGAATTCACGGCCAATAGCTCCGAAGCCAAGACTCTCATGCCGGGCAACCTTTGAAGCCAAAGCATGACGGTTCCGGAATGAACCACAAGGATCCCAAGCGGGTTCGCATCCTTCGCACCCTGGCGGAGGCCGAAAGCACGGCGTCCGCTCACTGTCGCAGGGTCGTGTGGGCCCGACTGCCCAAATCCAGAGAGTTCAACAACCTAGTCTTTGGACCCGTGGTTCTTTTTCATGAAGACTGCATTCACATGCAGAGGCGTGCCAAGATTGCCAGCAGGTCCAAGCACGTGCCCTGCCTGAAGTTGCAGACATGGATCTCTTGTATTCTCACCGTTGTGGGCTTGGTCTGGTCGCACCATGTTAAGCCATGTTCTCTGGATGTTTTTCGACGCTAACCTATGTCTGCGTCTAGGTCTGGAATTGTTTGAACCTTGCATTGTGGGATTACTACGGTGCATCTACTACAGTTGGTGTTCGCTGCGTCAGGTAAATTATTCATGAATTCGAGTACATTGTCCAAACGGATGAGCACCGGCAGTCGAAACATTTTCAGCTTTTTCAGCAGGGTTCACACTTACCGCGTGCACCCTGTATTTCCAACCATGAAAATATGGCATACAAAGTTGCGACTCCACCGACTGTCATTCGGAACTGCGCACGTCGCTACGGGAACCCGTGTAGTCAACCATGGTTCAGGCAAGACAAAGAAGTAGTTTATGTTCTGAGCTTGCGTTCTGACCCCCGGAGCGAGTCGTAATTTCAGGAGAGATCTTGCGTATCTTTGGGGACTTGACAGCGCAGAATGAGACCTTCGAGTCCCAGTTGAAGTATTCGCTGCTGAGGCAGCCGCTAAAGCTGCATTGAGGTGGTGCAACGAAAGTTCGGATGTCGGGTTTCGGAGTTTTTGGTTCTGAGGTTTGAGGGTTTCGCTTCAGAGCTTCGGGGCGAAGGTCACGGGAGGGTATTGAGCCTCGAAGGTTTGTCACAGACCCTCCACAAAATCTTTCGACTTCGAGACCTTTGCATCAGCCTTCCCAGAGGCCTGGAATGTGGGTCTTTTGTTCAGTGTCCCAAAAAGAGCTGATGCTGCTGAGGTACCTTCCAGGAAAATCCCGTACACGTCATACGTAGTGCCGATGGTATACCCCTTGAACACCTTAGCCCCCCTTGCGAAAGCCTGAACCTTGACTCCTCAGCCCCCTGAGACCGAGAACTTACTCGAAATCTCAGCATACGATACTTTGATACTTTAAGACTTTAAGGTAAAAACAAAAACAACGAGGAAGTGCCTGATTCCCTTAGCAGCCTGAGCTTAGCATAACCCAAGCTCAAAGCTGTGTCATGCATGCGCCTCAGGAAGGAGGGCGCCTTGAATCGCTTCATCAGCATGAAGCACGAGCGCTGTGACAAGGACCACACCGAGGTCGCACGCTTTACGATTTAGTGTCAGGGGCCAGGGGCTGCTCAAGTTGATCTCGGGCCTCGCAGGTGTCAGATTCGAAGTCAGAGCCTCCCCCTTAGCTCCGCGCATGGATTCTAGCAGCAACTGCGCGAGCGCCAACATCGTCGATAGACCTCAGGTCATCACGAAAGGTGTCTAACACTGGCAGGGTGAAGTGTCACAATGCCTGTCGGAGTACGACCTGGGTACGATAGATCTCAGTGTCTGACAGCCCCAACAACCCCAAGTCCTCAATCTCCGGCTTCCCAGAATCTTGCGTGCGATCATGGAAGGTTCAGCCATGGCAGCAGCGACCACACCTCCTCAGCGGCTACCTGGTGCTCTAGCCGCAGAGACATCAGAAGAACCGACAACAGCTTTAAGCGGTGCGAGCCCCCCATCATGAGGATCTTCGTGGTCTAGGTTTGGGCTATGATGCGACATCCATATTTTTCCCTTTCAGCTTAAACCTTCATTCATGACTTCGACGTTGAAGGAGAGGAGCACATAGAGCTGGCCGATGGCAATATGATGCAAGAACAGTAGAAGAGGTCTACCTCTTTTCGTGTGTTTCTTGTGGATTCCACCTAGGGTTCGATTATACTCGTACGGAAGCCCCCGAGAACACCGAAGCTTTGGCGATTTTCAATCGCTGTGGACTCAGCGTGTTAAACTCAGCAGGCTTTGCAACCCGAAAGGCTCTTAACTTCAAGTCCCATACCTGCATGTAGACCCTCTGAAGAGTTCCCTAGGACTGTGTCGGGGACAGCTTCGGACTGGATGGGCTTGCAGCGGCCCAGAGCGATCGTTTCCTTCCCCAGGCACGGGCTGAAAGCATAGAATACCAGTCTAGCTGTATCTTCCGCAGAAAAAGCGTTTGCAATGGTTCGGGGTTTAGGGTTTAGGAGCGTTGAACTTGTGCTCTGAAATTCCGCTCTTTCAGTAAGCTGATCTAGAGGGCTCGGGTTCAGAGTTCCAAATCAAGGTTGCAGCGTAGCTGATGCGACGTGCAACGTGCGGGGACGAAGGGCTTTTTTGCCGAAGCCTGGCACTGCAAACCTGAAGCCCGAAACCTTAAAGCCGCGCGAGCTTCCCCTCCGCGGGTGGTAGGAGAACTTCTGAAGTCCTTATACAGCTAAGCCATACCGGAACCTCCCACAGAGCCCCGAAGGAAGGTTGGTTTTCAGCCCGAGACCTCCAGTCTCAAGCCCCGAGCCTGGCAGTCGGGAGTCCCACAGAAGCCTTGGAAGCCTGAGTTTCCAGTCTTTAGGGGTCTGAAGGTGAGCAGAGGTCTGTGAGGCTAACTGATCTAGGAGGCATCCTGCCTGGAGCCGCGACAGGTGAAGGCGGAGATCAAGAAGACGCTAAAGAAAGGTGGCCAGAAACGGCTCCTCTCTACGCTGCAGCAGGCCCGAGAAAATCTCCGCCAGCTTCCAGGGCTTTCGAGGCCGAGGTTGAAGGTGTAGACGGGCGTGGATTACAGGGACCGCAACGTTGCGGCAGGTCGGGCTGAATGCCTCGAGGCTGAAGCTGGATCCAGGTTCTAATGCGGGCTGCGAGCTGCACGCCGTTTGATCGGCCGCCTGTACGGCTTCGCCTAAGCTGCATAAACTCTTGACTCCCCGCAGCATCGCCCTGGCATCCTTGTTGGCTGTGGCTTGGAGTAACGGAGATCGTCCATGGAAGGATCTCTGCGTGCGCGAGTGGCTGCAGACGTTGTTGGCTGACATCAACAACCAGGCCCTGCTCAAGGGACGGCCCGTCGAGCCACCAATCCATCTTGCTGAATCATTCAATGAGACCTTCCATCTATGCCTTTTTTTGGTGGCCTGAGTGTTGAATACATGTGGAGAGGAGCTTTTAAAATTTATCCGTACATGCAGAAGCAGCATTGGAATCGAACATAGCACGACATAACAGTCATAACAAGCGGCATCGCAGTCCTTGTTGACCCTCAGCCCTAAGCCATGAATCTATGAACCTGGCCTCTCCAATGCGATTGCTGTCGAACAGCGTAGAGTTGAATTCTGCAGCCCTCTGCCAGAAATTTCGCGTCTCGAAGCCCTTTCGGACTGGATGGAAGCCCTGAACTTCACAATCGACCCCATCCAAACCCATCAAAGTGTAAGTCCCCGCTTTGTCAAGTAAGTGCGACACGACGCAGACCTCGAACTCCGACCGGCTCATCGACCGAAGTTGCATCTTCAGGTGGGTGCAGGCGCGGAAGAAAGCGGCCAAGCAACAGAATAAAGAGCATCATGGTCATCAATAATCACTTGTAGTAGTGTCTCTTGTACATTGTCTTGTTGCTACGATGTTCATCACAACTGTCGACAAAGTTGCTGCAGCAGCAGCAGCGGCAGAAAGGTCGTTTCGGTCATGTTCGTGGTCGTCACCATAATCATGCTCACCGCCAGCATTGAACGCACCGCCTGTATGATTCTCACGATCATCATCACCATCCTCATGCTGGTCGGCACGACCAGCATGATCATCACCAGCACAATGACGGTAATCGTCAATATCATCCTCGCCGTGTCGTCATTTACACAGCCATTGCGCGTGCTACTTGTGTCTTTGTCTTTACTCGCGGTGGTCATGGTTGTTGGGCATTGTCAGGCCGAGTTGTTGGGCTCAGTTGTGTCCAGATGTCGGGTCGGCTTCGTGTCTCAGGCCAACATGACCTCCCACGATGCACACCTCGTTTTCTATGACGAGGAGCGTGCGGAGGAGTTCCGAGGCAGGGAAACTGGGTGGGCACCTTTCTTCTTGTCATTTCTTGATGAGCCACAGCTTTTGCTCAAGTAGGTAGGACAGGGGAAATATGAACACGCTGCCTTCCGCTTCCTCCATCCGTCGCTTTTTGGACGAAAGTGGTCAGAGCATTCGGATGTCCAACATCTTGGCCTCACGCAAGAGGTAGGAGTCCGCATGAATCCATTGGGACCATCTTAGTGGTCCGCCTTTGGCCTCCGTTTCGCAATCCGAGCGGAAAGGTGGGAGCTCCAGCTCCAGATCTATACAAGTTGAAACAGTGTAGCAGGATTTGTCATACTTTTGGAAACCCTGCTGACAACACCAAGTACTGTTAAGAATACTGCCGACAAGGAGTTCCGTCATACTCCGATACACTCGACAACTCACTTCCACCGCAAAGGGCAGGATCCGGAGCAGCCCAGCGTGGAGAACCAGTACCAGCCCTTTCTCAGCTGCCGCTCAGCTATGGCTTAAGGGTTGTGAAGGTTTTAGGATTTTAAGGGAGGCGGCAAATAATCCATACGCAAGGGCAATCCAAGGCGTTTTGATTTCAAGGTTTTTTCTTTCTGTAGTGTAGTTTGGCTTAGAGCATTGGCTCTTCGCGTTTCGGATCGTGACTTTCGGGCTTTCTTGAGTCCAGGTTTCCTCGCCCGTCGTATCGTCGACGGTCTCTGATGACGCAGTCGGGTCAAGTGTGTCGTCATGTCATATGAAGCTTCGCACGAGATCCAGACGAATTGACTACTACCAGTCGTCACAGAGCCTTCTACGCACTTAGAACCTTGTTGCAGAGTGGTGGTTTGAACATCGCCTGGTCCGTCTGTAGAGTCTAGGGTCGAAAGATTAAGAAGATTGTAAGATTTAATTCGCCACACTCGCCTACAGATCTGGGTCTCAGGATATGGGCCTAAATGGAAGGTTTGCTCGGGCTCCTGAGTGTCGTAACGGCCATGGAATCCGGAAGCCCTGCCACATGCGTCGTGCACGCGTTAACCGAAGCGCCAAAACCCGTGAATCCCAGCACTTTGGCACGTCGAATCCCCTGGCTTCAAACCAAAGAACCCCCAGCGATGCGATCAGGCAAAGTGCTGGTGGAGATGTTGGTTGCAGCGAGGCTGATCGCAAGCAAGAGCTGAAGGGGAGATTGGAGCCCTGCAAACGTGCTCAGAGCAGTGCTTCTTGATCGGCTACTCCCGAAAGGCGTGTTTAAGACCGACCAGTGTATCCAAGCGAGCCTACCTTACGCGCAGGTTCTTGGCCTACAGATCGCGCGACTCTGCCGATGTGCCGGGACTCGAACTGGAAGCGACACCCATCGAAACCTTGTCCGACACTTCTTAGCACGGATCCTGGCTTGGATCATTTTGAGAGAGGAGTTTAACTTTAAGATTGTGACGAGTCTTGTCAGTGAGAGGACCCTGCGCTCAGCGGGCTGTTCAATCGCAGCTCCGGGTTCGGGTTTGGGGTTTAGGTTTGGTGGGGATCCATGCATTCCCGTTTACGTATTGGCTTGAAGGTCGTGAGGAAAAACGGTACCCGTGTGGGCTCCAAAGTCTTGTTTCAATGCCACGACCTATTCATTGTTGTAAGCCGCAAATTGGACCCGTATAGACAACATGCCCCGGAACCCCAACCCTTAAAGCCCTGAAGAAAAAGCTTCCTTGCCAGCCCAAAAGCTTGAAGGGAGCAACATACTTCTGCTCAGAGACGCCTGTGCGGGCTTCGTCAAGTCGTAAAGGAGCACTGACTGCTGACTTGCCTTGTCCCGCCCCCTTGTCAGGCAACATCGAGCACCGGGGGTCCGGCCACCCCGTGAGTCGCTGTAGCAAAGCAGGTTCACACACACACACACGCGGGAGTTTCCGAAAATTCGGGGTACCTTATTCTGGGGGTCCTTAAAATAAGGATCCTACTTTTTAGGGTGCTACTCCCATTTGCCTAAGTCGTTGCGTTTCGTTCGTGGCAGCGCCAGACCTTCGGGGGAAGCTTTGTTGTGAGGTCGTTGCGTTTCGGTGTGCACATGGGGGAAAGGCTTCCAAGGTTGATGATCTGCGGTGTTTGTTTGCTGCATGGTCCAGGCCCTAAGTCGTCCCAGGTCCAGTGTGCACTTGCGGATTCTGCGGAACCGTGTCAATCGGGATCCTCGGACATGCTTGTAAACTAGATGCTTCAGCCAGTGTGCAGCTGCTGTTTGCGATTCCAGCGGTACTAGCAGTAGGTTTAACAGAACGATGCGCTGAAGAAAAAAGACAGACTAACTTTCGGCAAACGTCCAAACCCTGTGTGCTCGTGCTCTGTCAGAGGAGACCACATTGAGAGCGAAGCTGGGGAGGGGAAGCGGCTGCGGCTGCTTTACCCCCTCAGTGCATACAGTACGGGCCGGGGTTTGGAGGTTTGCCGAAATCCTAATTTTGGCTCAAAGTTTGGCTCAAGCCTCTCAGGGTCCGTTCTTCACCGGTCCCTGGAGGTGTGCACTTGCAGAAGGCTGCAAAAACGAACAGCAGCACGCGGGCTTTCACACAAGTTGTTCACTCTTGGGGGACGGTGCGTGGGGGGTGTGCTTTTGCGGGAACGGCAAATGCAAGGACTTTGCAGCGACCCCAGTCGTTGCGTGTGTGCAGATGGGGGAAGCATCAAAAACGCGAAATGCAACGACTAAGGCGCATAGGAGTATGTTAGGGTCCCCTATTTTCGGAAACTCCCACACATTTCGTGTTGGTTTCAGTACATTCGGGGCTAGGAAGCAGATCCTAAGGGGGCGACACCCCGAATTGCCGCAGTGTCTGGCCTTGTGCACAGTTGGTTCCAAAACTAAGTGGCGAAGCAAACTGTTGAATAGTATTTGCATAGCATTCATTGAGTTTCAGCAGGTTACAGAACTGCGAAGCTTCTTCATATCGCAAGGTATTACTGTGCAACTCACAGTGTTTGGCATAGCTTCTTCTTCCTTGTATCATAGGGTACTTCAGGTCACAGTTACGGTGCATCAGGGCTTTGAATTAGGCAGGTGTGGCATACATCGTAACGCCCTGTGGAGGGGGCGACACAAATTCGAGGCTAGCAATCTTGAAGCCTGGTTCGCTTTGATGCAAGAACCTGTACACAAGGCCAGCTGAATCGTAGAGAAGCGTGGCAAGACTAGCCAGGGCTCTTTGCAAAGCCTCCACGTCAATCTCTGCCGAGTGTTGCGAAAACGTCCGGTGCACTCCGAAGCCTTGCGCGAAATCGTTGTCCTGAGGGCCTGAACTGGGTATCAAGGGTCAGGGTCGCATCTCTTCTCGTGTCAGAGGGCCCTCACACAGACGCTCGGCTTTCGTTCGTGTTGAGTCAAGTGCTCTCGCTGCAACAGACATTCCTGGCTCTCGAGGTATGGAATTAAAGCTGTCTGCGTTCGCTTTTTTTCCGAACCTGTTCGCTTGCACGAGGGACTCGGACTGCCTGGGCCTTTAAGACATCGGAGCACGGAGGATTGTCGGGTCTATATGCAGACATGCCCGACCATACTGCATGTGACATGGTGTTGGGGTCTACTAGGGGTTGGTGTATCCCGCCAGAGCTTACAAACACGAGGCCCCTGCATCTGAGCCATAAACCCCCACTTGCTTAAATTTAACTGACGGTTTAATTACGTACGACAAGTGTCGTGCGACATAGGCACGTGGGCCTTTAGGGTAAGTTGTCATCGCTGGTCGCAACTGTCACGAGCGCAAAACGGCTCCTGCAGGCACTCGCCTGGGAGCCAGCCAGCTTTTGCCATTCTTCGAGGCCTTCCCCGGCAAAGGCTAAACCCCATGGCAGCCCAAACAGCGCCCACCAAGAACCCAGTGAATCCGAAGCCTCAGTTTGTGCGGAAGATCTTGCACCCAGACGCAGCAATAGTCCACGTTTTCCGCCAAGCCCAAGCTGTGCTTCCGTGTATACGAACCATTTCTTACCGGAGACCAGATTCAGCTACGTAATCTAGCGTGGAGTCAGTGCCAAGAATCTTGCATCATACTCCAGCTTCACGGCCTGATTCCAATGCCATTTCCGATGGTGCAGCCGCTTTCTCAGCTGTAATGCGCTACATCTGCAGCCCGAAGAAAACCTCATACCCTGTGCTGCAAGCCGGAAATCTGCAGGCCCTCTGTCATATGAAGCCCTCTTGCCTGAAGGCCGGCTCCCCCTGTGCCGTGTGGCCACGCCTCTCCTCGAAACAGTTCGGGAGCTCTGTCGGGGTTTGGTGGGCTGGGGGTTTAAGTTTAGTGCTGGTTCAGAGTTCAGGGTTAGGTTTGCCGATTGATCTTCAGAAGTTGCAGAATTCTGTTTCGGTGTATAATGCGTATGCCAGCGGCCAGCTTTCTCCCATGATGCTGGCAGTACTCTCGGATAATATGCAGCGGCCTTGCGAAACGGGCCTGTAGCCGGCTTACCTTCGAAAGACTGCGGGCAGACTCTTCAGAGTCAGAAACACAAGGCACCGAGGACAGCTCACCAGAGCATCGATTGCGTTTTGAGCCCCCCGTCCGAGGAAGCTGATCCTTCAAACCTCGGATAGACGGTTCTCATGGTTGCAATGCTCGGTTGCAGGCATTAGGTGCACAGGGGCGAAGGCATGGTGACGGTCGCTTTGACGCTTGATGTAGCTATGTTTGTTTAGGTGAGCCTTTGAAGCTCGGCACTGAAGCGCGATCACACTGGATGGAATCGCCTTTAACAGCCCTAGGCCGGCACCCATCCGTCGAGCGGCGGTGCCTGTCCGATGCTTTTGAACGTCAGTGCTCCTTTGGAACCAGACTAGGGAGTCAAGCCGAGTTTCGCAGTTCAGAAGCTTCGAAGGGTTTCTTGCCGCACACTGCTCCCATGTAGGCAGCCTACTTGTGGCCGATTTCAGGAACTACTCCGTTATATGCAAACAATAAACGGATTCCGCGCTAAGGGCAAAGGCCACAAGGAGCAAGAGTCGAGCTGAATTTAGAGTTGCTTTTGGGCCCGTGGGGTGTTTTGTGTCAGACTTGAGTCATCGCCAGAGTGACGCCGACTGCAGTTCATCGAACATCCTGACGATTCGGCTCCCTTTCCGCGATCCCCTTGTCAATCCAATCCAGTTGGATAGTTTCCGAAGGCCTCACGCGACCTGCATGTGTTTGGATAGTCATGGTCGTGATACGCAAATGGCGATGTTCGAGAAGAATATGTGTTCACGGGTGTCACTCAACAACGGGTCTAGCTGCAGACACGGTGAAAGAAGACATCTTCGAAAACGGAGTACCGGAGCCACCTGTCACGTGATGAGCTGGCTTCTTCTGCAGTAGGTTTTTAGCACTTCCGTGCACCAGCAACTACTTTTGTCAGCAGGGACGCCATGCTTGCGCCGGCTCTGTTTGGGTCTGCTTTTTCGGTTCAATATTTGGGCTGGGTTTATAAACTTGTTCTTTTTCCTGGAATGACCCTCATCGGGCTCTAACTTGTGACATCCATGACAGGTCCAATGCCTGATGCGCATTTGCCGGGCGGTAGGCAGTTCCGATGAGAGTGGGCAGGGCACTCTGCCAGTGGTTGCTTTGCAAGAGGGCTTGCAAGGGACGGTTCGGTTCGAAGGGATTGTCGCTTTTGGGGCTCAGGATTGTGGGGTGGTTGTTTGGCTGCTAGGCAGCAGCTCTGTTTTGGTGTGTTCACGCTACAGGGTATGCTCAAAAGTGCAAAGGGTAAGCTCGATTTGTAGAAGGAAAAAGGAGTGATAGACGTATAGACAGAGCTGATTTCCCCCACAACCCCACAGCCCCCGGACAAGATGCCCGAACTTAGACCACCCCAGTTGCGGTGCGGCAGAGGTTGCAGGTGGCAAGTGCTACGCACCGCGCCGCAGCCCTGAACGCCCGGTGCTTGTGGAGCTGTGGGGAAGGGCAGCCACTGTTCTCTGGAATTGAAGACGGTGCTCGAAGACTTTACGGGAGCTTGGGCTTAAGCCAAAACCTAGCAGTATTCGTAGTTGTTCGGGTTGCGCAGTTTTTGGAGCCTAAGGCGTTGAGGCTGCTGGCCGTCAACAGCCATGCGTCCATGGCGTTTTGCTAGACAGACCTACGAAGAGGAGTTTCGAGGAGTGAATTTCCCGATTGGCTGAGCTTGCGTTGACTGTTGGAAGCTCGTACCAGCAGACAGTAGAGAGTCCCTCGGAAAAAGTAGCTCCTTGGACTCCGGACCCCACATCACACGCAGGTAAGTCCGGTGAGTATAAATCCTGTAACCCACAACTCCGCACCCTAGCCGCTTGAACTAAACCCACGACAAGGTCATGGCCGATGAGGCGGTCCCGCCAGCAACGGCTGCAGTCGGGCGCTCAGCTGTGCTTCGGCTAATTCGGATAAAGGTGTTCAGGTTGAGGGATGTGGGTTTGTGTTTCTCGTTTCAGCGTTTTGGGGTTTAGCTTTGGTGTTATAAGTTATAGAGGTCATGTATGGGATTTGCATCAGGCTTCGAGGTTTTGGGCCGCAAGCTTGTCGGTTCAGATGCCAGGATCTGAAACAACAGCCTGAGTATGCGTGCAGAAGCGGCAGCCGTTGCACGAGCATCTTGTGACTCCACAACGGTCGCAGTGGCCAAGGCCTTTGTCAGGGATTTCGCAGTGGCAGGCCAGGAAAGCAGTTGTTGGGAAGGCGGCTTGCATGCCAAGCGAGGGTGTGTTGGCTGTCTTGTTGGATTGAAGCTCTGCAAACAACTCCCGGCAAATGGGAATACATCAAGAGGTCCTATTCGGAGTTGCACGCCAGTGCATGTGAAGCATGCCTCGTCGTTTTTGTTGTGCAGAGGCGCCCGAAGTCCAAAGCCGAATCTGGAACACCGGACCCCACCTGCGTCCAAAGCCTCGGAAGCCCAACAACCCCCGAACGGTTCAGGCCCCAAGAATTGCCTGAAGCCCTCCTACCTGGCAACTCTTTGAGAAGGGAAAGGGGGATCCAAGGAATGGTTGCCTCGAAGTCCCTGTGGCCACCTTTGACGGCCCTGCTCCGCCGGGGCGCCGCTTCCGGTGGTCGGCAAGAGACGGCTGGGCGCCCCGGGACGGCTTGGCTTTCGGGAGTTTTAGGGTGTAGGGTTGGGCTTTCGCGGTTCGAGATTGAGGGCCGGTTGGGTGCAGGGTACCAGAAGCCACCAGAACTCTGCATCAATCCCGTGTTTGTCATGCCCTGAAGTGCACGAACCCTCACCAAATCAATGTCCATATCTCGACTGCACAATGAGCCGCCGAGGCTGCCGACTTCCTTCAGCACTTCTGCGAGCTCCTACAGGCCAGGTTCAGGGAAGAAGGATCGGCGTGCCTTTGCTTTGTGTACACTTTTCGGTGCTTCTTTTCTGCTTGGGAATCGCTGGAGCTTCAGGGTTGGATGTGGGGCCAGTGGTGCGCTTGTGTGTTTTTGCAGAAGCGATCGGCAAAGGCCTCCGAGCACGCTGGAAGTAGAACTAGTGTATTAGTATCAGTATATTCGTATATTAGTATATCCATACTGGTATCTTAGTATCTTAGTATTAGTATATTAGTATTAGTATCTACCTCCCCAAGCCAAGCCGCAAAGCTTTGCCCTGATGGGCCATTGGAATCTGGGCTCGGCGTTTTCAGTCAGTCCCCGGAGTAGCATTGAAAGCCTGGGCCCTTAAGGGGAAGGCGAGCTAGACATCAGGCTTGCAGATATGAGAGAGAGAGAGAGAGAGAGAGATCGCAAAACAGCCTTGCAACAGAGGTCTCAGGAGTCGCTACAAAACGAGCGGTTGGGGTTCGGGCTGCTGCGGTTCGGAAACGCTCCGACGCTTTGTATGCCCCAGACGGCTAGCTGCAGGTCTTTCCTGAGAGTGCCTGGGCACCGGGAAAGGCGGAGCTGCTACTGGCGGAGATTCTGCAGGCGGGAACTCAGGTCTTCGGTTGAGAGTTTTGTTTTCAGGCAGAGTCTTTGTCAAATTCTGTTGTCACCTCTGCCAGAAAAAGCAATGCAGCATATGGATGTATTCAAAGTAAGACTTGGTCATTGGAACCCGAACACGAGATACCTGAGTGAGAAAGAGTGCAGGGCAGGGTAGTGTCTGCACAGGAGCTCCGTGAACTTGATCATCCCCAGACTTCAAACTCCCTGTCCTCTGAATCCTACAGGCAAGGACACAGTGATGAGCCCTGCAGAAAGGCTTATAGCTACTCAGTCCTCAGCTTGCGAGCATCTTCGTGTTATGGCACTGTGGAGAATCACGAATGTAGGAGGGCCCATTGCGGATATCAAGTCTAGTCTATGATCTTGGCAGGGCGCATTATGGATGTACGAAGGGACCCCGCCGGATCATACTAATGCACAATGGCATGTCAGTCCCTGGCGCACCCTCGCGGTGCCTTCGCAGCTGCGGGGGCGGATGCGTGGAAGGTCTGCTGTGGGAACGCTCGGGGGGAATACATCGTTAATGCCACAGCCGACACGATACTACGTGTAGTGCTGCAAGAAGGCTTCAGAGTTGCACTCTTCCAGATTCCAGACAGGGTTTGTCTTTTGGGTAAGATCCTGCCGTGACTTCGCACAGTTCGTGATCTGTCCCAAACCCGAAGCCCCCCAGAAGCCGAAGCCAAGAATCCACAAAGCACGCGACTAGCTGAGGGATTGAGCTCCTCACTGCGGCATACACCCCAAAGCCCAACAACTCACAACATCGGAACGAAGCCCTCGCTTCCTACATGCCAGATCCCGAAGCATAAAGTGTTGACGTCGAATCCGGTGACCCTAGAAACCCTAGCCTTGCGGCGTCCTTGACCAAAGCACTGTCAGAGGCATACTTCTCCATTTGCTCGACTGCCGGCGTCCACGCACTGTACTAAGGAAGAAGGAGTTCGCGGTTCAGGATCTGTTGCCGCGTTTTGGGCTTCGGCATGTGCATGCGTTGTTTCGAAATTAAACATTGTGCTCAGAGCCTGGCCCGAGCATCCCCAAAGGAGGGACCAACCTGCAGCTGCCCAGGTGGCACCGGACTGGCGTTGGCACCCCGTAGTGCTGTACCTGGGTGGCAGGCATCAATGAAGGGGTCATCTTCTGGGTTTACTCCCAACTCTTTGGCCGCATCCCACGACAGCCTGGGTACGGGTTGAGGCCTTCCGATGATAACAAGCGGACTCACGATCCTTATGTCCATGGTTGGCTGTTTAGCCGGAGCTGGAGATTTGGGATGTGCGTCAAGGCCCTTCGGTCTTGCGATTAGTTGTGCATGATGCCTTGCCCTACCCCACGCTCCCCTTCGCTCAGAACGTAAGTATGCCTATTCCGCCATTTCTTTGATCTGTGGAAACAAGGGACTGCAAAACTTAGCTCCGGCCGGGGTCCTTGGCATTCGGACTCATGAAAGGGACGTCGGTGGTTGAGACACTGCAGCTATGCACACTATCTCTCGCACGGCTCTCCAGCTGGTTCCAGGACAGGCACATGTCCTTCAGTTTAGGTCATGCAGCTGGCATCCGGCAGCACCTGTCAGTTGCGTCAAGGGGCTACGATAGTCGGAGTTCCTAGCAAGGCGTGGGCCTTACGCTGGAAGGTCCAGTGGGTCTTTCGTGTTGGGTTTCAGATTCAACCCGCTCGAGCACTTCGTCTCCATGGCATTGAATGTCGTCGGCCGTGCTGTCGGCGGAGCTTCTCAAGGCACTCTGGCAAGCTTGGTGGTCGTGGTCTCGGGCTTGCGGGACCACGTCTTGGTTGTTTACACATTAATCGGAAAGCTCTACAGTACAGTGCTAATTACACCCCATCATGTAAGTGCTGGAAATGCTGGAGACTGCTGGTAATCGAGGGTGCTCGCGCGCGCGTCTAGAACGAAGAACTGGCAGCTCCATATGGCAGGTGCCTCACGGGGGACTGTGGCCGCCGTTGTGGCCGCAACGCTGTCTGCTGTGGCTGAACCTCTGCAATCCGAGACTTGGTTTGGTCACCTTTTGAGCAAAGGCTAAGGGAGACAGATGCTCAATGCTCACCATTCCGTACATACCAGACGGACATTCTCAACCTTCGATCACATCTCTGAGTTTTAGCTTTAGGAAGTATGTTGTGTTGCCTTGGTCGTTCAAGCATTCTGTGTTGCTAGTGCTGTCATATTCTCTTTGCTATCGGAACGGCATCGTACATCGAGGACACTATCGTCCGGCCATCTTTTGCTCCAGGATCTCGCAGGAAGCATCGGTGTCTTGTGTTTGTGAGGTTGTAGACTTCGACCTGCGGCCTTGAAGCAGTGCGATTTGATTAAAGGTTTTTTGCAAGTGTTTTTGCGACGCGGGATGTTGCTGCCGGGGAACATCGGATTGTTCGTAGGGTTGATCGACATTGAAATCAATGTGCAGCACGACCATGCTTGACAAGAGCAGATGATGGTCGCAAGGCAAATTCCCAGCACCGTCTCAACTACACCTGCCGAAGCCTGAATTCTTGAGTTCCTTCAACCCCAGCTTCGTGGAAGAAATCACATGAAACTAAGCCCTGAATCCAGGGCCTGTATGAGAAGTCTGCAGAGCGCAAAGACTTTGGGCACAGGCTTCAACTGTCAAGCTTGAAAGCCGCAACTCATGTCCGTTGTTCGGATGACATGAAGCCCAAGTCATTCATCCATCCACTTTCTGATCTGGTGGTTGCAAACAACAAAGCTCTGTGACTCCGATCTCGGGGATTCATGCAGCGACAGAGTGATTTGATCTTTCCGACGCTGACACGGTTTGGCTTTGCCGCTTTGCCGTCTCCGAGGAAGATGATGTGAAGTCCACATTGTCCGAGCATCTCGTAAAACTGCCGCTGTTCGAGGCGATTCTTTCGGTTTTCTTTGGTTTCTGCCTTCGGACACTTACGAGTCAGTGACGGTCTTGGATCATAGGAGGGAAGCGAAGGGGGGGTATGCGCATCCTCATAATTGGTGCTTCTTCGGGAATCCCAAAGCCCACCTGCGCAGACATCACTTCCGTCCCAACAGTAGCAGCGAGGACAAGAACTCGCTACAGCAACAGGCACAGGGCTTCTCTCGGTTATCATGAGCAACGTGCATTGGTATATGGGTCGCTTCCATCAAGAGACCAGCTCAAGAAGACTTCAGTGGGAATTCGATGTACGGGCGGGATTCCGACTATGGCCCTGATCACCGAGACTTTTTGCACACGAACTGGACAGGCGACAGGCGTTAACAAACCCTGTACACAAAGAGGCCCGAGACGGATTCTTCTTGAGATGACACGCAGGCAGCAAGGCAAGAATTGCAAGCTGCAGCAGCAGCCAGACAACGCATGATTCACCGGACTCCCTTGAAACGGTAGCTTCTGGGAATCGTCAGGCCTTGAACACCGCCTGGGTGAACTTGCTGCTGGGCATTTCTATGGTTAGCTGCTTTAGTTTTTTTTTTGGGGGGGGGGAGGTGTAGGGCACTTCTTGGCCACGGACTCACACCTTCACCGAAGTCACAGTGTGATTTGCAAGACACCCCAGCGGCCCCAACATGAACCACAGCATGCAAGAGCACACGCAGCTGTCGGGTTCAAGGGTGGGGTCGCAGTGTTGGTCTGAGAGATCTGAAGCCTCAAACACTCAAAAACCCGAGATCTCACTAGCTGAGTAGGGTGCCGATTGAGCACCTTTGGAAGAATTGTGTTCTGTTTCGAGAGCCTCTCCGCCCCCGACAGCTGAAAGTGCCGGGCTGCGGGCCGATGGCTTCGGCTTGACTCTGTGTTGTTGTGTTGCAAGAGGCATACCTTGCATCTTCTCCAGCCCTCTGGTAATGGGTAACGACAGAAGACCCTGAACCCAAAAGGAGATGACTCCCAAGCCTTCAACCCGATGGATCGGAAGCCAGACCCGAAACGCCCGACCCCCCCCCCGCCACACCTTCAAGCTTAAATCCGAACATAGTCAGGGCACGGTAGCAACCAGACCAGGATCGCTAAGTATTTCATAGTATATACGTTTACATTGGAGACAAAATGAGATGAGCGCCTAGTTATTCTTAGGCACCCTTCAACCTTCAGTCTACACTCTGGAAGCGCATCCCAGCCGATCGGATCTGATCCGCTCTTTCCTCAAAGCATCGCGAAATCCTTTGGCCCTAAACCTCAACACCCGCTAAGACCCGGAAGCCCCAAGCCCGAAAGGCTCAACCTTAAAGGCCTAGGCCAGGCCCTAAACCTTAAGCCCTTATGCTCGAAACTCCAGACCATATAGCGTTTAAACTCCCTAATCTGTTTCGCTGTATGTTAGAGCCCAAGCCTCGAAGATCTGGCCTCTTGAAACTTCTGGCCATCCCGAGGCTTCCTCGCTCGTTGCGCGGGGCAGCAGCCGGAGCTCTGGCGTCGGCGCTCGCCGCACAGAGCGCCGAGGCACTCCAACTCGTTGGGGTTTAAAGGGTTTAGGGAATAGGGCGGTAGCTAGTTGGTGCCTAAGGTCTAGGGTGTAGGGTTTAGGATTTAGGGCTCAGGCCGCTCAATTCAAATTTCAAATGCTAAACCCTACAAACCCCTCCCCCACTCTGTTGTCTGAACTCTCCCCGGCGTGAGGCTTCGCCAGTGCGTTTGGACCGCGCTTTGCTGCCGGACGAAACAGAGTAATTTCTGTAGGACTCCGCGGTATTGTGTCATGTTGATTTGTCGTTTGGAAGCGTACTGCCTTTACAGGGATTTCTACGGTGTGTGCAGCCGCACTCCTTCCTTCACATGGGGTCTTCCACAGTGCCATACATCTCCAGAACCCCAGGCCAGATGTCACTTCTTACAATGCTTGTGAGCAGATGCGATGAAGGAGAAAGGCACAAACCGTTCACATTTCCGTCAGAGAGACATTGGTACGTCGCAAGCCAAAGCAAGTAGGATCATCATGGACACGTAGCCGTACAGCCTCACCCAAACCTTGCATCCTCATCTCCACTACTTTGATAGAGGGCTTCAGAGAACTTTGATAATCTGTGGAACAGCAGTCGGCTATTTCATCACATCTCACGATCGACCATCTTCTGGATCCTGATACAGCCACACTGAGCCTGGATATCCCAGTCGAAAGCTGTCAGAGCTTGCAACCGTCGTAGTGACGGTTGCAGCAAACGCGGCAACAACACGCAACAGCACAGGCTGACACAACGTGGACTTCAGGCGTCTTTTCTACATCGTCGTCATCGTCATGCGCGTCACCACCGCTATCATCATCAGTATCCGCCTCCTCCGCCTCGTCCGCGTCCTGGTCCTCCTCCTCCTCCTCCTCCTCCTCCTCCTCCTCCTGCTCCTAGCATCAGCATACGTACATCATTACTACAATATCGTCAGAGCAGTCGCCACCTCGCTATCGCCACCAACACTGCCACCGTCATTGTCATGTTTTTCTCGTGCAGGCAGTCTCAGACATAGCATTGGCAAAGCATGCCAGCCAGAGCAACACCAGCAGTACTGACTGGTGATTGTAGCTACCAATGCAGAGCCTGAGTACGAAGCAAGACTCCGCTAGTATAACGCAATTGCAAGGACCGGCAATGTGGCCACTGGTCTCCTTCTTGTTGGCGTGTCTTTCCCTGCCGAGGCTTTTCCAGGATGCCCTCTACGGTGCAGCTCGAAACCAAATGCACGCGATGGTCGTGGCCCTGAACCCGCTTCGGGCAAGGTGGGGTCCAGGATGGAGAGTTGAGTAGAGCTTCCTTGATGTGAGGCCTTGCTACGGTGTCCTGAAGGGCTAAAATGTGAAAAGATAACAAAGCCATATCCAATCTTGTGTGACTGGAGGTCGGACTCAGAGCTTGGGTGCAGTTCAGGTTTTCGGGAGCAGGTCTCTGGGTTCATGTATGGCTGGAAGGATCGGCCTTCTGCGGACTGGGATTGGGAGTGCTGGTTAGAAGCGAGGATGTTGGGATGCAAGAGCATTGGGGTTTGCTTGAAGATCCTAGAACCTCCCAGCTCTGAAGCCAAGGCAAGAGCCTTTTTCCCAGACGAAAGCCAGCTTCCCGTGGCACTGCAGGTCGTCGCTGGGCCACTTCGTCAACATCCTCGTGGCCGCCACGGCCGCGCATATGGTGTCTGTGCAAGGGAAGGAGGCCCCTTGCAGAACGGCCGGTTCTAGAGATGTTACAAGCTGCGAAGCCCGAGTCTAAAGCAGTCATAATGCAAATTTGAATCCAAACCTCCAGCAGCAGCACTCCTTTATCCCCGCTCGACTCAACGCATGACGTCCCGAAACTCTGAGAGAACCCGAGGCCCTGACGGCCTGGGCCCTCAAACTCCGAAAAGGAGCCCTTGGACCCTACAAAAAACAAGACCCTTTCAAGAAGGGCTTAGGGTTTAGACTCCTTTTTGAGACGGAACTCCTTGAGCACCTTACAGCCAGGTTCTCGAGTGCTGCCTGGCCTCTCGTGGGCCCAAAAAGCAGCTTTGCCTTGAGCTTCTCCAACCCGCCAGGCGGGCGCCGACCCTGAAAGCCCCAAAGCCCTGACCAAGCCCTGGGAGCCCTGAATGTCTTGCAACCCCAGTTTTCTTCAGCCCACTACCCCTGCAGCCCTCTAAGCCCTGAGCCCTCAAAGCTTCAAATCTCTCAACCCTGCTGCTTGCTTGCAGGCGGTTTCGCGACGGCGCCTTGCATGCGCTGCTCGTCGGCCTGAGCTTGGCCTTTGGAAGCTTGGCGACGCTGCAGGCCGGGAGCAGCGGAGAGTCCGGTGACTGAGGGTTAATTTTGGTGTTCATGGTTGGTTTAGAGTGGGCTTCGGTTTGAGCTTGATTTGGTTCGTGTTGAGTTTTGAGGGACATTTATCGGTTCCGGCAAACCCCTGAATCTGGGCCATCGATTCAGGAACTTCTCAAGTCCAGCTATGGAGACTCCGGTCTTGGCAGAGTTCTGGTTCGACATCTGCACAGAAGTCCGAGCAGCCGCAAGTCCGAGAAAGGGCACGAAACTGGATCACCGGAAACCGTGAACAAAACCGTGTCCCCGCCTCAAAGCATTGCACATGAGAGACAGACGGTCACTTGTAGAATAAACAAGCCCAAGCCCAAGCAAAACTCCTGAAGAGACGCATCGACCTAGCCCTTCTAGGTGGGGAAGCTGGGTTCTTTTCTTTTCCGGCTGATCCTGCGGCGACCAAGAGGGCTGATCCTTGGTTGCAACGATTTTAGTGACAGATCTGGCGGTCCAGGGACCGGGGAGTGGGCTGGAAAGGATCTGTTCCGTGAATAGAGATTGCAAGGAAAGCAGTGCACACATGTGGGTATGTAGAGGACCTGTCTTCACTATATGCAGTGCGGATAGGTCGGTTTCAGCGGGTAGGTCTTGGGCTGTTGAGCTACAGAGTGACAGCAGCAGCAGCAGCAGCAGCAGCAGCAGCCGCAGCCGCAGCCGCAGCCGCAGCCGCAGCCGCAGCAGCAGCAGCAGCAGCCGCAGCCTCAAGCCTTCATTACAGTCTCAGCACGGCCCTGCGATAACACACAAGAAATGCCAAAGCCGCGCCAAGACCTTGTGCATGCAACCGGCCCGGGACCTGCAAGAGGATTCAATTTAAGGTCCGTCTCTAAGACCCTCAGTTCGAGTCCCTGAGCTCTGAAACCAAGGCCTTCGTTGCAGTGTTTCAATCCTCGAAGACCCGTGCCTGCACGGCCGGAAAACCGCACCTGGGATTGTCACCAAACGCATCTTTCCAAACCTCTGGCGCAAGACCCGAAGCCCCAAATCCCCAAGCTTTCGAATCCCGGCGTCTTTTCGAGGCTCCTCGGGGGCATGATGCTGGCGCTCTGCCAGCTGCGCCTTCGCCGCGGTGCCGCTTCGGAGGACAAAAGCCCCCAGGCGTCCCAGAGCCTTCCGGCGCTGCTTCTGAACAAGGCAGCGGTCGAGTTGAAGTTGGCGAATCTAAGGAGAGCGCACATCTGGGACTCTGGAAGTTTGTCAATGGCTTCGGCTATCAGGTTTTACGGTTCATGTCCAGACGAATCCACCCTCATCTAGGTGCACCGGCATAGAGGGAGAGGGAGAGAGAGAGTTGATTGGTTGCACGAACAGCGAATGCCCTGAAACATAGCCTGCAGGGCCGCTTGTTGCCCATCCAATCCCTAAGCCTCAGACCCGCAGGTGGCCGGGGTGGGTCGGGCTTCCGCCAAAGCGGACGAGGCGAAGCCGGAGACAGAGCCGAAGGAGGCAGCGCTTGAGCCCTTAAACTCCCTCAACTCCCTAAACCCCAAACTCCTTAAGCCCTAGAACAAAAGACCGTTGTCCAAACTCCAACCACGGATCTTGGAACCTTGCAGGCGGCCGGCGAGGTCGCCCAGATCGGCGGCGAGCTGACGACTCCGACTGTGGAACTCAAGGAGGGCCTTGGGTATTGGGTTTTCGGGCTATGAGTTCAGGGCGAGGGCATTGCCCCCAACCATTGACCGCCCAAACCCTGAAACCCCAACTCCACAACCTAACACCCAAGCGGAAGTGCAGGATGTGGCTTTGGAGCCGACGCAGTGCAACCCCGAACCGACCATCCTGGTGCCCACGGCAGACCTTGAGGTGGGGAGAATAGTGAAGGGAGCGTAGCGTGTACGGTTTGATTGGTTTGGGCGGCTGCCTTCGGTATGGGGTTGAGAGAACAGAGCGTAAGGTTTGGCCGAACTGCTGGCTTTATTGGTTATGATGTATAGTCTACGGTTTTCTTTTGCAGGGATGCTTCAGGACATATTGTAACGACTCAAGCAGCTATCCATGTCACTCCTCCGTCCTGGCCTCCGTGCAGGTCCAAAGCGCCCCTGCACTCGACACCGAGACGGCCGTGCACATGGAGGTGACAGAAGATGTGTTTTCAAAGCCCTCACCCTGGACAGGAGGAAGAGCTTAGGGCTTAGGCTGAGGGAGTTCGTGGTGCCAGCCCGGCCCGAAGACGAGTAGTTTGCGAAGCTGCAAAGCGTGTAATTAGATCTGAAGCAAGCAAAGCCCTAAACACGAAGGCCGAAAGCCCGAGAAACCTTTGAAACCATGCCTTTGCGCAGGCCCCGACACCCGAAACCTTCCGCCGCAACGCGGACGCCCGAGACGTTGCAATACAACATAGACCTTGAACCAAGCGCTGTAACCAGAGCCAAGCTTTAAATCAATCCTCAAGGTCAGCCGCAAATCGAACATGGAAGCCCTGGCCACTGCTCGCAACCGGGAGGCCAAGCTGGGTGCCTCTGCAGAGACAGAGGGGCCTAGGACCTTTGCAAGGCGCGGCATCGAAAACTGGGCTTGGTGGGGTTTGGGGTTCAGGGGGTTGTGGCCTTCGGCTTTCTTTGTGTGTCTAAACTTTTTGGGGGGGCGTCTAGTTCCGGCAGCGACTCAGAAATAAACTGCATCGTGGGGTTGAGGAAATTTGCCTTGGTTGCACATGTGGGGTGCGGTCTGAGAGTGTTCTTCAATGCAACACGAATGACACACTGCACTAGTTGTCTCCAGCTGCAGGTTTTTCTTCGCGGCCTTCTTGTTATAGTCACATGCCGAAGAAGCCGTCGCCGGTTTCTGGCATCGCGTTGCGAAAGAAGCCGATGGATGTCATTGCTCCAACAGAGTAAGGTTTAAACCGGCTGAACCATCACGAGCGGCACTTTCACTCGAGTGGAATACAGCCTCGACCTTGGAAAGCTGGCTCCACAAGGCAGTTCAAGTTGTCAAGGCAGCTTCGCTTGAATCCTCCCTGCTTGCTGCAGGTACACGCCCGTGGTGATGACGCAGATTGCAGGCAGGTCCGTGACACCTCTCCGTGAGGGACACGCCAGCGTGCCACTGGCGCAAACGCAGGCGGCTTGGCTGCACTCGCCCTCGGGGGTGGGGGGTGCAGTGCAGGCTCCTGAACTGCTGAACTCTCCATTTCTGCGTGAACTCCTCTACACTCGTTCCAAGGTCTATCGCGTCAGTCACGGCGTGATCCAACAGTCAGCGTCGCGCAAGGGCTCTTCCTACACGATCCCGGTGGCTGTGCGCCCCAGGTGGGGGCCACAGGGTTGGGTTTTGGGACGTGGCCAGTCTTGTCAATGTGTTGGGGTGCAATCGAGATCTTACTGGCTGAGCTTTTCCGAGCCTTCATCTCCATGTAGGTTTCTTCCCTGCGTTTGGATTCTTGACACGGTTGAGCTTGAGAAGCTTGACTTACCTTGAGAATCCTGGCGGGGCAAATAGAGCTTTGAGGATCTTGCCGGGTCAAACAGCTGCCTGAAGCCGGTGCTCCATTTGTTTTTGAAGCCAGGCATTCCTTGCCCGGCCAGTCGGCTGGCACTCCAGCAGGTCGTCCCTTCTGAGAGCATATCCTTGGGGGTTTCCGAAGATCAGTTGAGGTCTTGTATTGCAGGATCCTTATATATAGAAGGATCTTATTCTTGTTTGGTTTTGTAGGTCGAGTCCGCTATGGTTTTCTGAAGCACTCCTGCTCCGCTACTTCACTTCTGTTGCTTCTGGCTAGGTATCCACGTCTCATTGAAAAAGGGAAGTGCGCCAGCTCTGAATTGTTGTTCATGGCACCTCACACGAGTTTCCCGAAGGAGACCCTATGTAGTGGCATGTAGATCTCCAGAGATCGCTTGTATCAGAAGGTCACGGTCTGGAGCTTGCGTTTCGTACACCCGGCCTTCTTTTTTGTCGCGCGGGCTTAGTTGACTTAGATTTCACCTGCGTAATAGCTGCTTCAGTATTTCGAGTCATACGCATGAGACATCCCTACGTACTCAAACTCCCGACGCTGCACCCCAAGTCAAGAATTCTCTGCAACTCCACCAACTCTACCCTGCTCTGCCACACCTCAGAGCTCCTAAGCTCCCATAACACACGCACACACGGACCAGAGACAGAGAGGACGCGTCCCTTTCCGCCTCGCATCCGCTGGATCTGCTCGGATCGTTCGTCCAGCGGTGCCACCGACGCAGGTGGGAACGGTGGGAATAACAGGAAGCCGGGCTTCAGGGTTTGTTGACACTCTCATGGTAGGGCTCGGCTGTCACCCATTTCGACACGGAGTTTGTCTCGGTTCGCTTCGTCGGTCGCTCTGTGAGGTGTTTTGAAGTGCTGTCCCTGCAACCCGTTGGTTGGTTTTGGTCTGCAGGTGCGAAGCGTGGCAATGACACCAGTGTACAGGTCAACGGGACACCTCACGGAGCAAAAGGCGGTGCCTCCGCCTCCGAGAGTCTTCGTCTCTGCTCCCGTGGCTGGGGCCGCTGTGCATTCTGTGCATTACAGCCCTGACGGCCATCCGGCCTCAAGTGTTACAGTCACGCAGTCTTGGAGCCCGCCGAAGAAGACAAATCTCTGAGACCCACTTCGTGGTGCTTCGACTCAGAGTGGCGCCACCAGGGGTTGAACTATCATATTATAGTCTTGTATGTATGATTATACCATACTATATGATATGATTTGTGTTATATAATATCAAGTTCAGTCGTATCATATTACGAAATGGGAGTCGTCTGTAGTTGGAGGCACGAACTGGTATCTCCAGACTATCCAGGCCTTTGCCGGCACAGATCCGGTCAGAGATGCTGGAGATTGCAGGATTGAGTTAGAGAGCTGGAACTTCGAGAGGTATCGATGGTTTCTAGAATCCGGAGGTCTCGGTACAGAGCAATCGAAGTTCAAGCTCTGGTTCGATTTGAGAAACTTACAAAGCTGAGTTGAATTCTATGCCGAGTGGTTCGCTGCAGAACCACTGGCCACGACAGCTTCTTCCTGTTCCACTGTGCACAATGTGTGCATGTTTCAACAACACAAGGATCCCTCAAAGGAGGCTTGCGTCAAAAATGAAGATCTTACTTTGACCGGAAGCGCTGAAGAACGGCAGGCCAAGAAGGGAGCTATGTGTTGATCTGAACATCGCTTATTGAGCTAGCACCCGCCAGGTAGTGAAGTTTGAAATGTACGTCTGCAGGTGGTTTATAGCGAGAGTTCTGGTGTTCAAGCTTTACGGCTTAGCCGTGAGGCCCTGTTGGGCCTGGGAGGTGAGGCCTCGCAGATCAGCCTTTGGCTCGCAGTTGGGTTTCACCCGTCGCACGGCCGGCAAGGGGGTTGAAAAGGATGTAAGCACCGATCATGCAGTTTCCGCAGACGAGATCACTGATGCCAAAGGATGCTTGCCCGAAAATCTCGAACTCTTAGCTCCCCCACCCCTGGACCTGAATCATCTCGTCGTCCAATGAAGATGCAGAATCATTGCAATGTTGAGGCGCTCGCCACGCCACCACCTTACCAATTCGAAGACCAAGCTTGAAACCCGCCCGACAGACCACGTAGATCGCAAGCCTTCAACCTCAACACCACCAAAGCCCGTCCGCTTGTACGTACGTATGCACGTGCGTACATGTGTATGTATGCCTGCATCCCAGCAGTCAGGCTCAGTCGAACTTGGATTTTGGATTACAAGTTTACGGCTTAAGGTTGAGGGTATAAAAGTTGGGCTCTGGGTTTTGGGTTTGGGGGCTTTTAAGGTTTAGGGTTTGGGGCTTAGGGCCAACCTTCTAAGTTGAGATTTGCCTGCGCCAGGCAGTTGCCGGCTGCTACCACCGAGGAGTCGGCATCAGCTCCGCCACAGGCCCCGATAGACCTGCGGCTTCAGGTTCTGATTGTCCTTCCGGCTGCTGCAAACTTGGGCAAGTGGCCGGCTAGACTCATAGATGCTATGGTTATGGAAAGTGCATTCAAGTTCTCCGTCGTAAGCATTCAAAATGTCGCGAGGGGCGAGCCAAACGAGAGTGGCATGAACATGGAAATGTAGCAAATCGACGAACAGAGCAGAACTAACAGGGAGTAAGATGAGGCATTTGGACACCAAGCCCTGGACTTTCAAGAGGTCACCTTGCCGGCAGCGGTCATGTCTGCTCTGCCCGGGGCGCTCGCAGCAGGTCTTTCCGAGGAGGCTGGGAGCACGGAAGGGTGTTCTTAAGATTTGGTTGCACGGTGGGCTAATCTAAGGAGCCTTTGTCGCTGGGTTCTGTTGTGGCCCTTTCGAGAGACTCCCGATCTAGCATTCAGAGCAGGCCCAAACAACATGCCTGTGATGACAAGGGGAATGATGTTGACAAAGGGGGGTGATTGGACAATGCATAGGATTCCGTTGCTCAACATCGGCGTCACCGCCATGATCATCGACGTCATCAGCATGGTCATTAGCACCCTCACCATCCCCACCACCATCATCATCATCATCGTCACCATCCACATTGATCATGATCACCATCCGAAACATTGAAGATCTTGGAATGCGCTGAAGGTCGATGCCGCTTCGCACCCAATTCCCAGCCCGCATATAGAGCTTGAGTGGGCAAAACCCGGAACGCGTCCTCACCTTCTGTCTCCATATCAGGCCATGCAAGAGCTTGTGGCCCGTCTGGAATCAGCGGCAGAGATGCTGCAGGCGACTGCGGGTGCATCATCAATGCCACAATTTTTGTATGTTAGCAACCCAAGCAAGAGCAGAGGGCTAGCTCGATTTCTCATCTCAGGGTCGAGGTAGCACGTGCCCCCGTGCTTCACATGGCTCGCATAAGTCTTTTCTAAAGCCATGCAGCACACTGAGACGCTCAAGAGAAGCGTCAGACTCTGGGGGCTTCGCGTCGTGTAGCACGGCAGGTGAGTGCTGAGAACGAAAGCTCCAGTCTCAGCTGAATCTCCAGTTTCGGACGTTAGGGGCTTCACGGTTCTGAGCATTTTTCGGGCTTCGGGCCTGGGTCTCCGAGTCCTTTACATCTTAGCGTGGCTCAGATCACTAGCTGTCACTAGCTTCTAGGTTCCTCCTTTGGGTGCTTTGCATGCTGATCTCTTGACGGGTTTCTTGTGAACTCAGGCGCTGCTAGACTTCAAGGCAAACCAGGACTGCCCAAGAAGACCCGCAGGTAGGCTCAGAGCTCTGTCGATGCAGGGATTCTAGGACAACGTGTCTCAGAGGGCTGAGGGATGTGGCTTCCGCCCCACCAGATGTGAAGCTGCATGCTTTCAAGACCGGCTTACCGTGACGATCGACAGTTGATCATGAGGCGCACCGGCCAAAGGTAGCTTCACATAAGCCCCGAAATCAAGCCATGACGGACTTCTTGCCGATGTAGGATAGGAGCTGCAGAAGCTGTGGAGGATTTAGAAGCTCGGGAGTTCAAGGGTTGGGTCGCTGAAAGCCCGAAGCTCCGTCTAGCCTCCAGTGACATGCCGTGGTCCAAGGCTCATCGCTGAAGCTCTGGAGGCATCCTACATTAGGTTCTACAAAGTTTTTTTGGTGCTTGGATTTCTTGGGCTACAGGGGTCAGGGCTTGATGGCTTGTGGCTGCCTGGTGGCTGCTAGCTTGAGATGCAGGTGCAGGGTGTTCTGCGATGTTTAGAAGCTTAGTTTGGATGTGGCTGGCACGAACCACTAGCCCTGCATTCTGCTGATGCGCGCCTGGCTTCTCAATGAACGTGTCACACTGTTGGGTCGAAGCGCTTGCTGCTTTGGGTCTCGGGGGAGATGGGGGAGTCAGGCAGAATAACGGATCTCCAGCTGATGATGCTGACGCTCGCCCGGCTTTTCCCTGAATCTGTCAAACTATTGGGTCGAAGCGCTAGCCACCTTTGCGTTCACACAGCGGAGATGGGAGAGGGAGCATAAAGGGATTTGCGGCTGATGCTGCTGATGCTCGCCAGGCTTTTCGCTGAATCTGTCAAATGATTGAGTCAAAGCGCTAGCCCGCCTGTGGGTTCACACGGCGAAGATGAGTTTGAAGGGATAGATTGAGTCGAAGCGCTAGCCCGCCTGTGGGTTTAGGTGGCGGAGATGTCAAAGCGAGTTTAAAAGGATTTTCAGCTGATGCTGCTGATGCAGGACTGGCTTTTCACTGAATCTGTCAAATGATTGGGTCAAAGCGCTAGCCCGCCTGTGGGGTCACACAGCGGAGATCGGAGAGTGAGTTTTACAGAATTTCCAGCTGATGCTGCTGATGCTCGCCTGGCTTTTCGCTGAATCTGTCAAATGATTGGGTCGTGGGTTCACGCGGCGGAGATGGGAGAGCAAGTTTAAAAGGATTTTCAGCTGATGCTGCTGATGCTCGCCTGGCTGTTCATTGCATTTGTCAAATGTTTGGGTCCTGGCCCGCTTGTGGGTTCACACGGCGGCGATCCGAGAGTGAGAAGGATTTCCAGCTGATGCTGGGTCGAAGCGCTAGCCCGCCTGTGGGTTCACACAGCGGAGATGGGAGAGTGAGTTTAAGAGGATTTCCAGCTGATGCTGCTGATGCTCGCCTGGGTTTTCGCTGAATCTGTCAAATGATTGGGTCAGAGCGCTAGCCCGCCTGTGGGTTCACACGGCAGAGATGGGAGAGTGAGTTTTTCAGGACTTCCAGCTGATGCTGCTGATGCTCGCCTGGCTTTTCGCCGAATCTGTCCAAGGATTGGGTCAAAGCGCGAGCCCGCCGGTGGGTTCACACGGCGGAGATGGGAGAGTGAGTTTAAGAGGACTTCCAGCTGATGCTGCTGATGCTCGCCCTGCGGTTCGCTGAATCCGTCTAGCGCTCATCTGTGGGCTGATTCAATTCTGCAGCACATCCTGAATCCGAATCCTTCAATCCATAGACATAGCCCTTACTCCTTAAGTCACACGCCACAACGGAATGACGCGTTGCACCTCTGTGGTGTGGGAAGCGAACTCGAGCGTTGCACAGCCTCTGGGAGCAACGGGGAATCGGACTCTAGGGTTTGCAGAGCAGGGCTTAGCGCCGCTTAAGCGTAATGTAACCCGCACCTGTCTACGCAGACTGCTCTGCCCTTCGGTCGCTGCCAGGGCGTGGACGGCATTGGCCAAGACCCTGCAGACGGCAAAGGCGTGCTCACGCCGCGAAGCCATTTTCGATTCCTCGCCTTGAACCCCAAGCCCTAAGAGCCCGAGAGACGCACCCAAAAAGCACGTCTCCTGGGGCCTTTTATACCCCCATATAACACCATGTAGCTCGAGCTAGCACCCGAGGATTAATGCTTGTTCCACCATATTCTGAGCCGAACTCATCCCGAACTGATGCCATTGCCCCTTCAGAAGTTTAGGGCGGTTTCTGATTCCGCTTCATCGGTCGCTGCTTTACAGCCATGCGGTGTGCCTTCTTGGGTTAGGCTTTCCTGTATAGGGTTTGGGGTTCGAGGCTTCCTTGTTCTGGCTTCTACTGCAGGTGTCTGCAATGGAGGTGACCTTGCAGCGACTTATCACGAAGCAGCTGCGAGCCCTGACCGCAGATCAGGCTTGGACCATGTCCGTTTTAGGGACTGAAAAGGCAGATACTCGTACTTGTTTCAGCTTTCTACTTGACAGCGTGTGGGCCTTGGGACCACCATTTTGATGTGTTGGATCGTTGAGCTTACTGAAGAGGGAGTCCGGGAGTTTTGCCGTCAACCTGTGGGGCTTTGGGCTTGGGAGCCCGTGTCTGTAACAAGGACGAGGGAAGTCTTTGGGGTGCAGGCGAGGGATCCCGTCCACAACAGAGTCCAATAGAATAAGTGCATGCTGAATATTGGGACATTAAGTGCTGAGCAAGACGATTCCAACTGAATGTCTGGCAATGGTACTCCATGAGGCAGAGGCCAATCAACTCATGGGACCTTCAAGTCGGATAGGCTTCACGGTCTGCTCTTGAGAGCAGCAGAATGTGTCGGCTTACCATATCGCTCTTGTGCGCATGTGTGTTCCTCTCCATCCTTTCATGTGAGCTTTGTGCAAGCATCGAACTGCCGAGCTCCAGAGCCCTGTATTGCACAAGTCAAGGACGGCTGCTTCTCGATGTGGTCCGGGGGACTCCGTCGCCGAAGGCTTCCGAAGTAGTTTCAAGTAGGAGCCCTTGTACATCCGCCACTCTCGTTCTTCCAGACGGGGACAGTCATTTCGGAAAAGTGCAGGGCTTCATGATGCTCCGAGACATTAAACAGAGAGGTGCCAATGCTTGCAATAATCAATAAATCATGCCCATGAGCTTTTTTCGGCTTATGTCGGTTTATGGTTCCTTTAGGCCTTCAGGTGTTTGGGATCAACTTGATTGCCGCAAGGCATTATGGGCGCTGGAAAGAGAAGGGCAACGTTTCAGTGCCAAAGCTCTGCGGAAAGCTATACTGTTATCTTTCCAAGCCGTGAACTCTACCACAATCCCTCGATCACTCCTACGCCAGTCGAGCAAAGCCTACAGCAACTTAAGCCCTAATGTCACAGTCATTTTACCCCCCCCCGCCCCCCGAGATTGTTTTGTGCGGGGGTCTCTTGGGGCAGGGTGTGGGGTCAGGGTGGCAATAACAAACGTCTGGCCGTGTCCGGGGATTGTAGTACTAGTAATTAGTAATAGTGCTGTGTAATCTCCCAGCTTGGAACTGCACTCTGGGAGCTGGTAGTTCAGGGTCGTGTCTGCCGAACTGCACTCTGCTGGCTGGGTTTGGGGTCCTCTTAGTTTCCGCTTTTGGTAGTTACAGTACTTAGCCTGGATCCTAATTTTGTTGGGGGATTTGGGGCCCGGAATAATTTGTATTGTCACCCCTTAAACTATTGCGACACCCCCCTTCTAACATCAAGTGTTTGGGCAAATTGGCTGCGGCTACGCAATTAAAACTCCTCTTCCGCCCGGATATTCGGCCCCGGGGATTATGTTTATTGTCACCACGTTTAATACAATGACGGTAACAGTGAGCTGCTAGATCCCCAGAACTCCACAGCTGGCCATAACTGGCAGATGCTGGATGCACTTCGTGGTCTAATGGCCTGTGACCTCGGTGAGGGACTTGATCAGAAGGCGCCGGGTAGCATGCCGCGGGAACACAGCCTGTAAAGATTATAGGCCATACAGTATTGAGTTGGCGTGGAGTTTAGGGTTTGAGGTCTTTTGTTAAGTTGTTTCGCCCAAGCCTGCTTGGGCTCTTTGGGCTTCATGGGAACTGCGAAGCCATAGTCGGTCCCGGTATCGGACTTCGGCTTGTGTTTTTGTGTCTTGGTTTAGGCTAAGAGTGCTCTTGCTCGGGACTCCAGCAGAGTAGAGGGAACTTAGGAGTTTACGTCTTTAATTCTTTGGTGCTGCTGCGCCTATGTTGAAATGCAGGTTGAAAGCTTCTACTGTATGGGAGCCATGCAGAAAGCACACCACTGCCAAAAGCCGCATTTGTTTTCAAGACCCTGACTCTACAGTCCTAAAGCAGTCCCTCTCAGTGCCCGAGTCGATGACTCCGCGTTTCGATCCCCGAGAGGATGCCGAGCTGATCGAGGCCCTCGGGCCGGCTGCGGAAGGCCTCCGGGATCCGATGGATTCGTGATGCGGGTCTGGCAGAGCTTTCGGGCAAAGTTCCTTGCTGTCCGAACCTCTAGGACTCCAGGGTTTTCGACTTCAACAGAATCTGCTCTTGGTTTAAGGATCTTGGCAATCTGATGCAAGAAGTCCCCTTGCGTTGTCGAGGATCCTGCGACGATGCACGTTGCTTCGTAATAGGGAACTGCAATGTGGGCATTTCTAAAAACTCCAGTTCCATCGAGAATCTACGAGCTAATACGCCGAAACAAACGGTGTCCATTCTTCCTGCTCAGCACAAACGGTCACAGATGCAAATCACTGCCAATGCCCTCGAAGTTGACCATGGCTAGCAAGCCTTCGATCTCTAGGCTCCTACATTCCGAAGCCGACGATGTCGTGGCTGCAGGACCCTCTGAGATACCTTCGTCCTGGCGCCAGGAGGCGATGCCTGCTTGCATGCTTGCTTCGTAAGAACACGGCCCCACTCTGGTGGTGGCCTCTTGCGGCAGCCGACGGTTTGTTCGAGGGTGAAATTGAGTGAAAGGCAGGTCAGGGTCCAGAATTCGTGGCTTAAGGCTTTCGATCCAGTGGCGTTGAACATCGATTTCGGTCCCGGGGGGCAAAGGAAACGGCCCCGAGCCTGGCCTTGTTTACAGAGGCAAAGATCCTCGCCTGGCCCATTCTGCCTTGGATGGCAGCGCTGCAGCAGGCGAAGTGTCCATCCGACTTTTCACTGGCATAAGAATCCTCAAAGCCTAGAGGCCAAGTTTCGGTGCTTCGCTGCACCGGCATCGTGTGGCTTCCTGGTGTAGCTTGGAATAAAATGGGCTGCATGTCACAACCTAAGCTCGGCACTCCGAAGCTAAAGACTGAAAGTCTCCTATGGCATACAGCTGCCAACCCAAAGCCTCGGTTCTAAGGGCTACCGGTTGAATTCCCTGAACCCGAAACCTTCTTAGACCTAAGCTTCCTGAGCCCTACGCCCCTAAGCTTCTGAGCTTCTTATGTGAGTTTTAAACACCCGAGCGTTTATGGAAGCAGGCGTCCAGCTCCAGTGCTGCGCTCATTGCGGATCAGCTCCTTCGGCCCCTTCTCGCGGACCTGGCGAGGCAAAGGGGGCCTTTTCTGATTTCAGAGCGTCTTTTGAGAGTCATGATACGGCTTTGAGAAGAGCCTAAGGGGAGAACTTCCGCAGGTGCGCAAAGGACCACATTCCGATGGGGGAAAGACCTTCAAACACAGCAATTTCTAAAGTATAAAATTTGAAATGCGAGCCCAACACCTCCAAACCCCCCTCAGCCCCTAAAGTTCAAAGCCCCGAAACCTTACACCCCGCCCGTAAAGCAAAACATAACTACTAACAACGGCCAAAGCTTATCAGGCACGGCAATGTCCCGGCAGAGCTTAAGAGCCAACTGGCCGAGGCTGGCCGCGACTTTGTCCACTCCGGTTCGAGGGTTTGCGATAGGCTTTAGGACTGGAGTTCGTATGCTGAGAGTCTTAGAGTTGATGATTGGGGGGGCATCAGGTCGAAGGTTTGGTGCGCGATAGACTAGTAAACTATTTGTTGAGCTGTAGGTTTCGGGCTTGAGGTTGACGCCTTAGGAGAATTTGGGTGGAACATTCGCCTTACGATTGACTCTGTGACAGGCAGCTTAGGTTCAGAGCTGAGGGCAGCACACTTTTACTTCCAGGGAAGAGCTTAAGCTGCTAGACGTTATGGAATCGGACCCCAAAAGCTGTAAGCATTTCGGACCCCGAACCGGGAACCCCGCATACAATCCCGAAGCTTTCAAAGGGGTGAAGACGAACGACTTATTCAGCGATATCGAAGAATGTTCGAACTGAACGGCCGGGCACATGAAACTCGAGTCTGGATCTCAAGTGCCCACGAGACCCCCGCCCCCATGCTCAACCCAAGCGCCCAAAGCCCAACTCTTTTCGTCCAGAGCCTTGCTGCAGGTGTTCTTCCCTCGGCGGAAGGATGCTGCGGGGGCCTTGGATGATTGGCTGGCCTTGAAGGTTTGCAGACGCGTTTCCTCGGCAGAGTCGGGGCTGCCTCAGCAGCTTCTACATTCAAGTTGATGGGTTCTGGAGGCAAAGAACAACCAACACGTGCCACAACGCACGTCCACAAATTCAGAGCCCCGAAACATGGATGAGACGACCACAAAGTTCACCCCCGAACCTGAGCCAGGGCCATGTCATGTGACACTTAACGCCCCAGCCCCTCATTCACATGATTTTACCCGACACACCGAGCGCCAAAAGTAACAACGACAATGCACACAAGACCACTACTTCGCCAGCCCGTGAATCACCATATCCGGCACCGTATTCCCTGAAGCCTCCCTTGTCCACACTGCTCAACACCATCCCATCGGAGCGCCCACTTCCTCCTTTGATTGTGGCATGCCCTCTGGTTCCCAACCAGCACGGAACGCCCCTGGGCCCCCACTTTGAACCTCCTGTCCGCTTATTACAGTCACCCTTTAAGTGACCCTTGTAACAACCGTTCTGGCAAGCGTTACAGTACCCCAGTCCCAGGACGCGGCAGCCCATGCCCGTTGTCTGCGTCGAGGACTGAGCACACGTAAAGGGCCCAACAGGGGCTTGCAGGAAGAGCGTGATGAGCGACTCCAGGGAGCCAATGCACGCGGTGAGCCTGCTGCCTCTTCCATCTCGTCGAATACAAAAGAAGGCTAACCCAGGAAAGAGCCCTCAACTCCAATGGCCCAACACTTCAAGCCTAAAGCGTGGCCACCCCCAGGTTTGGCGCTGGAGTGTGTGCCACAAGAGTTTGGCCTAGCGGCGACGGAGAGGGCCCACGAGGAGGGTTCGGCATCCGCGGTTTGGGGTGTCGCCTATGCTTGTCGATGATATACTCAGTACGTTCAAGGACGAAGGTGCAAGAACCCTTTTTTCTGTACTCATCATCTGCTTTTCAGGCACCGGTAGAAGGACACTCATACAGCAAAAAGAACAACAAGAGCTACCCACCCCTTCCATTTCCCGTCTATGTCATTCCTTGAACTGAATCCTAAATCCTCGTAAACTAAACGCGAAACCCCAAGGAAGATTCGGAAGAGCCCAGCTTCTCTCGCTCTGGTGGCGCATGGGCGCAGGTTGTGCAAGAGCTCCTTGGTCTCCTTCTGGAGGCGGAGGATGCCGGTGACGCCTCCTGTGGGCCCGGATCTCCAGCCCTTCCACAGAGGTTTGGGGTCTGGGCTACAACGGTTTAGGGTTTAGGGTTTAGGAAGTTGAGAGTCAAGAGTCAAGAGGCTATTGGGTGTAATGTGTCTGGATTGGTACTTATCGAAGGTCCTTCGTGGTTCCAAGGCATGCTCCTACTGCCAAAGCAAGAGACGTGTGGGATTTCTTTGGGGGGTGGGGGGGCAAAGGCAGGGTACAGGTGTTTAGGAATCATGGAGTTTTTCAAGCATTCAGCAGCGGTTTTCATGGGATTTGAAGAATTAGATCCTTCTTCAGAAGCTTCTGCATGAAGCCGATTAACATAGATGACGCAATGCCTGTGTATGTCGGAAGGTTATCTTCTCAGGCCTTTACATGCCCTGGGTTTAAACGCTGAATCTGCCCGATGTATTTGTGTTGATGAGGCTGAGCCTCATCAGAATGCAGAATCTTCTGATGAGTCCTGTACCCACCTTTCATGCAGGGAGACGTCCTGCCAGGAGTCACAAGGCTCGTATGCCGGTGTGATCCCCCCACCCAGCATGTCAACTTCCAACCTCTAATCCCCTCGCCCAAAACCTCAAACCAAACACTCCTAAAGCCCTAAACCCGGAACCCCAAACCCGAAGCCCCACTCAGGCCGGCGCCGTTGCTCGACGACGCGGTCGCTGCCCTGACCCTGGCTTTCCGCGCTCCGGCTCGGGGCGGCCTGGCAGCGGCAGAGACCGCCCCCTGGCTCTCTGAAGGGGGGGGCGGGGCATGGGGTTTTAGGGTTAATAGGCTTTCTGAACCTCCTGGCGGAACCGAGTTATGTTACTGACTCTAGAGTCATAAGTTAGAAGGGGGATTGAGGGGTTCATTCTTCAGTCATGGTTCAAGATTCTGGAATGTCGGACATTGAGCTTCATCGCTATGCTCCATGATTTGCAGGTTTGGCCTTTGAGACGGACGGTCGAGCTTGGATTGCTTGGGCTTTCGAGTTGCATTCAGAGCTCATGATGCGATGGTCAGCCGTTGCGCGCCAAGCCTGAACCCCGCAGCCCTGTGCCAGACCACATCCCTCAACGCCTCAGCTCGCTTCACATAGGACTACACTTGCTACTAAAGTATACTATAGTAAAATATAAGTATGCTATAGTCATCAGTATAGTACATAAATATATGTAAGTAATATGATAGTATACTATTTGCTATGCTGTTGAATAATATAGTATAGTATACTGTAGTCGACTGCAGAGTATAGTATAGCATACTGTAGTATACTGTAGAGTATAGTATAGTATAGTAAAGTAGAAAGAGGCCAACTGCTTGCGGAGACTGGTCTCTGCCTCGAGAGCTTCCGAGGCCTCGAGGCCCTCCGCGCTTTGCTGAAGTCTTTGGATAGGTCTTCAACTAGAGGGTTCAGGGTTTAGGGGCTTAGGGTTTAGGGTTTGGGGTTTGGGGGTTTATGGTTTAGGGGTTTAGTGTTTAGGGGTTTATAGGGTTTAGGGTTTCGTGTTTAGGATAGGTCTTCAACTACTGCGAAGTACTATTCCTTAAAGTACGATACCCTACTTTTCTGTAGCTTCTTATTCTTATAAACCCTAGTATGGAAAAGGTACTTTACGGGCCCGTTCCTGAGGGCTATAGTCTCTCTCTCTCTCTCTCTGTCTCTCCTCTCGCTCTCACTCCTTCTCTGTGTCCGTCCGAGTGAGTGCTTGCACAACGATGGAGGTGTCGAGCCTCCTTTGCGAGCCAGTAATCGCCGTGCCCCTGCATGGATGTTTCTAGTGTGATAGCAGTATGAATCAAGCCGAGCGTCATTGAAGCTGACACATACCAGACTGAACTTCAAGCCTTCTCTCGTTTGCAAAGCCTAAGCTACCTCCCCCGCCTCCCCCTCCAACCTCTTCTCGTCAACCAAACCCTAGGCTCGAACCCTCCAGAAATCACCACAAACCTCAAATCGAAGGCCCGAGCCCCAAGGGACTCGAAAGCACTGAGAAGATGTTGGCTCGGCAGCAGGCGCCTCACCCTCTTGGTCAGCAAAACCTTGCACCTGGGATTGCACGCCTGGGAGACCTTCTGGGATTGATTTTGTCATTTCCTTGCCTTGTGTTCGCTTCTACTCGTACTAGACTATCAATCAAGCACTATTCACCTTGTCATGTGTTCGTCTAACGAATCGAGGAACTATCACTCGCTGTCGTCATCATCATTGGTATAGCTGCAGTATAGCTGCTCCCATCTCCTTTGGAGTGCTCCGGGTGTGGGTGGGTTTGTGCTGTTTTCAGTTTTCCTATTTGTGGGAGCTGCTGCTGCTGCTGCTGCTGCTGCTGCTGCTGCCTTTGCTGCTGCCTGTGCTGCTGCTGCTGCTGCTGTTGTTGCAGCTGTTGCTGCTACGGCTACGGCCATTGTTGGTGCTGCTTCCCGTGCCGCAGCTGCGATTGTTTTGTGCTGTTGTTGGCTTTGGAAGGACCCAAGGACCTGACCTACAGGCCCGGGGTTGAAGGCAACCCCTCCTACCGACGAGCGTTGTCAGCTTTGCCCTACAGTGCAAAACTGGCTTTGGGAGGTTTGCGGGCCATCTTCTCACAGCAATGACAATTTCGCCACTCATGCAGCGTCGGGATCTCCGGGAAACTCGTACGAATCAGAAAACCAGAAAAACCCGGGGCGGGGCCAAGGTCTGAGAGAGAGGAAGGAGAGCTCGGCGAGTGGCTCGGCCCGGAAGCATCTTCGGGACAAGCAGGGAGTAATATAGGGGCCTAAAGAATAACCTGTACTATTTTGGGTGTTCCTTATCATCATTCTAGTATATTATATTACAACACCAAAACCCTATTCTAATTATTAAGGCCTCTATAGTATTGCTGTTGGATGCTATTGGTGTACTTCTAAGTCTTTTAAGTAGTGTTGTCGTTAAACGCATTGATGTTCGTATCGCTAGTCTAGTGTACTGATGCATCTGCAATGGCACAATGTTTGCTTGATGTACAGTAATGATAAGATTGCTGTTAAGCTTCAGCTGCCTGGGGGGTGGGGCTCATGATTTGGCCAGTTCCCAGGGGATCTTAGTTTTCTGAGCCGGGACTAATAGATCCAAGCAAGCTATGTGCTAATCTCCGCCTTGGCCCCCACCCCTACCTCGAACAAGACAATCTGAAAATCATTTTTGCCGCAAGCGCTCTCGGAAAAGCCCTGCGCTGACCGCATGCTCCAGACTTGGGTTGAGTGGGGTTTAGGGCTTCAGGTGGAGTGCTATAGCGAGGGATTCCTGTAGGCTGGATGCGCTGGTGCTTTCTCGCTCGCTCAGGGTCTCTGCCACCTGCAAGTGCCAAAGCGCAGGACCAATCTTGCAACAGCTCTGCAAGGGAACGTGTATTGCACGGCCCCGTCGAAGCAAAACATATCCAAGCGTGAATCCCAGCATCGACAACATCATGGCCGTTCGCGACACGCAGACACACAGCCACTCCCTAAAGGCCAGCAAAAGCCCGCTTCGCTTGAGGTTTACCGAGCTGGTGGCTCCCACCAGTGAGGCGCTTCTGCAGGAGCTGCTGGCTGCCGGCGAAGCGGGCGAAGCAGACGAGGTGAGCACAAGCAGACGGCTTGAAATCTTGAAAGGCTAATCCTTAAGCGCTTTAGGTTGCGGCTGTTCGACATTGGGCAGTGTAATGCCACAACTCAGTGAGATGTGAGCTGGGTTTTTTTGGCATGCCGGCATTCAGCAAAGACTTTTCAGACCGTCATCATCCCCGAATTAATGTTTCTTTCTGAGTCGGTGAGAGCAGTGGCCTGCCTTTCCTTGTAGCGTGGGTTGGGGGTGAGTGTGTGTTCGGTCCTCGAATCATGGATGAAAGGTCGCCTGCACAAGCTAGGGGTGAAGGTGATTGCGCCTTTGGGCATCTTGCTACTGTACCCTTTCTGCTTTTTTCTAGTGTAACAGGGCATATCTCAAGCTGGAATGGAATTCAAGCTTGAATCCCTAAGCGCCTATTGAGAAGTCTTTGGGAAGGGTCTGAAGTCCAACTCCCTGTCAGGCCTGGCTGGTGTTGTCCCGACTTCTGTCGAGAGCTGGCTTCGAGCAGACAGCGGGAATCCTCGCCAGGTGCCTCTTCGTAAAGGGACGCCGCGCCATGGTGTGTGTGTGTGTGTGTGCGCGCCTCTCTGCCACTCTCTCTCTCTCTCTCTCTCTCTCTCTCTCTCTCTCTCTCTCAGCTGCCTCGCTCCATCTCTCTCTCGCAATAAATTCTGTACAGCACTCCAGATCTGCAGCATTCTGCATCCAAAGCCCGTTGGATGGGAAGGGGCTGGCCTTGTGGGGCTCGCGGTGCCAAAGCCGGAGCTGCCGGCTGGGTGCATGGCCTCCTCCAGGCCCCAGTGAGCCCGGCTACCAACAGAATGAGTTAAACACAAAAACGTGCCCTTTGGTGCTTCGGGCCGCTGGAGAGATGGATTTAGGGTTTCCGGGTTTGGGTTTGAGCGTTTGAGGTTTGGATTTTAGTGCTTGAGGTTGGGAGTTTGTAGGGTTTGGATAGTTTTCAGAGCGTTAGGGTTTGGGGTTTCCGTGGTTGGAGGTTCTAAGTTGCTGCGAAGAGTCTGTGGATGCTTGCACGTCTTAGAGTAGTTCTAGTGCTTCAGGTTTTCAAAACGATTAAGATCGTCGGAAGCCTGTAGCTAAGCGAGTCATTCATCATCGAGCTTGAGAATTTGCCAAACAGCAGTAAGGAAGCTTTTAATTTGCGGAACCGAGAGTTCATGGTGAAGGGAAAACGGCTTGACTTTCAGAGTCAAGCAAGTCCATGAGCGGTTCACACGAGAGGTCAAGAGGGACGAGCAGGTGTCCTGGAAGTGTACACCATACCCTTAACCCTCCAACCTTGTACCCTACACCCGTGACCGTCAAGCCTCCTCCCCAAAAATGCAAACTCCCAAATCCCAACACTCAAACGCAAAGCCCCAGCACCCGAGCCCCCGCACCCGACATAACATGATGTAGCACACATGTAGAAATACAGGTTACACATAGTATATACATATATTGTATCTGTATATTACATATCTGGTGTATATATATATATATATATATATATATATATATATTGTATATATATTGTATATATATTGTGTATATATATGTGTGTAAACAGTCTACACACATGTATGTATGTATGTATGTATGTATGTATGTATGTATGTATATATATATATATATATGTGCATAATGTCTATATATATATATGTATCTGTATATGTATATATATATATATGTATATATATATACACATGCATACACATAACAAAGCTCGATGTCCTTTTCCAGGCCGCAGAGGGCTTGGAGCGACCGGCCCTTGAGCTCCTGAGTTCTGTGCGCCGCGCGCTGCGGGGCGCGGGCCCCGCAGCGCGGCTCCTGCCGGAGCCAAGTGGGCTTTCCGTTTCTGTATGGTTTGGGGCCTTTGGGGCTGAGGGTTTAGGAGTTTATGTAGGGGGTTTCTTTAGGGACTTTAGGGTTAAAGTTTGGGGGTTTAAGGGCTTAGGGTTTCCGGGGGTTAGAGTTTGGGGATATTTAGGTGTCGGCAGGACTTGCGTATCACTAGACAGGGTCACTGCAACGAGCAGTCGTTGCACTTGTGGTCGTACTTCCGTAGTTGCCGGAGTCAGCGAGGGAGCAGCAGTAGGAGAAGGAGCTTTATGCAGAACGCATGCAGCCGCACGGCTTCAGCACTGATGGTATCCACTTTCCATACACATCGTTTTTGTTCATATGTATCGCTTGCGAAGTCGTGAAGGGATTTCATGCTAGCAAGAAGTCGCTCTTTGGAAGCTCGGCCTGAGCTATGCCCAAGTCTAGAAGGCTTTTAGAAGAAGTTCTCAGCAGGTTCCACTTCTAGAAATTCGGCGTCGGAGGCCAGGCTTTGGGATTTAGAGTTCAAATTCGGTGATGATGTCGACATCCGTGCAGGAGGGAGTCGTGAGCGCAGCAGAGCTTCACGAGAATGCGGTCATCACCGGCCTCGTGCTGATGCTTGTCGGACCAGTCGGCACATGCCGGAAGGGCCTTTCTTATGATAAGTTGGTTTGCCAGTCTCAGGAATACTTGGCCAGCGCATGTCTGTGTTCTGATAGGCATTGAAAAAGCCCACAGAAAGAGATCACTGAGTAGGGTACGCATAAGCAATAATTTGGCTATTCATACTACCGTTTGCATATACGACCTCGCTGGGTCAACCTTGTCATCTTGAGCTCAGTGCAAGAAAGGCGTCTCCAAGAATAAGTGCGTTCGTGACACATGCATTCGTTGTCAGTTCCAGCCCAAGGGCAGGCAGAAGGACAATAGAACTTCACGCCGCATGGCGCTCTGAGCAGGGAGCGCTACGTCGGGAGCGCTACGTCCGAATACTGCCACCTACAAAAGCAGTTCGATCTTGAATTGGAGATGCGTGAGTCTGATGGCCACATCCAAGAATCACCAGAGACACAGCAAAGTCCAACTATTGAAAACCCTGCCCACGAAAGGGTTGGGGCAACGCTGAAGTGCTGTCGATTGAAAAACTTTGGCCCAGGAGGGGTACGGAGGAGACATGTCCTCTCAGCTTCTTGGAGGACGCAGGGGTACTCGAGGCGGCGCTCACGTTCCAGTGCTCCTGGTCGGGTTTCATGTAATGCTAGCTTCGAATGCGGGTTCTTGCTGCAGGTGGTTTGGGAGCTCCTTCTTGCCGCGAGCCTCACAGCAGAAGCGTCCGTGGTCTCCGGAGCCACGCAGGCCGAAGGACTGTTCGGTTCGGAGAAACTGGGCTTGGGTTCCAAACTGCTGGCAATATGAGTGTCTCGTAAGCTTGGATCGTAAGGTTTATACATGCCTTCTCTCCACGACAATATAGAAGAAGAGCGACGAACACAGCGCTCAAGCGCAAGCAGGCCTGGTCGCTTCTTCAGCGCTCGTCGGATGGGGCCAAGCTCCTCGGTTCTGCATCTAGAGATTGCTGCAGGAAAGCAGGGTGCCAGGCCCAACATTGGTGCCCTTGTCACAATGCCAAAGGACTACGCTGAAGCCAAAACCCCCATGAACGCCGACCGAAAGCCTGAAAATGCTTTCAAACCAAACCTGGAAATCCCGAAAAGCTTTCGACAACTGCTACAGCCCTTAGGCTCCAGTTCCTCGACCTGGCTTTGAAGGAGAGAATTGTATGGCGAAGAGCTTGAGATCGCTGACATGAACGGGATGTGCAGGGTTTCGTGGTTGTGAAGTTGTAAAGTCGACTGCAGCGTTTGGGGCTTTTTGCACTGCGGCGCGGAGATGCCGACAGGGTTATGCACGGCCGATGGCAGTGCTGTATCCAGCTCAAATTTGCTCTTTTGTTGAACCTGCCACGACACACTATTTGCTACTACCACTGCCGGAGCCATCGCTGGGCTGCACTACCACCGCCCTGCCCGACGACTACTACGACTATTAAGAGGACAACGGCTACGACTACGATGTCTTCTCCCATGTCTAAGACCTCGACTACTGACCAATGACTAGTGCTGCTGCCGCTGCTGCTACTGGTCATCCAGCAAACGCATTGTCTGTGTTTAACCGTAGGGATCGTCGCATAATGGTTCGGGGGATAGCAATGCTGACATCAACAACACCACGCAAGAGCTCGCACTCCTCATCTTCAGTTTCGTGGACACCACCGTCAATACACCAGCACCATGATGGTCTTCGCCATTATCGTCATTACTAGTATCATGTTTGGATCATCCACATCCTCATCTTCTCCCTCGCCATTTTTATCATCCTTAGCATCATCATGATCTTCGTCATCTTATTCCTGATTTGCATCCTCACATCCTCACATCCTCATCGTCGGCCATGCCGGTCAGCGCCACCATCAATAACCGTCATCGTTCTCACTGCCAGTGCTATCACGTCCAGCGTCGTCCGCATCATCTCCTCCTTCGCCTGCTCGTCTTGCCATTGTTGGTATGTTCCTATTGCCAGCAAGACTGGTAGTGCCCGAGCATTCCACGGAGGAGGCGGCGAGCGAAGGAGGTGCCTGGCGCTTAGAGACGCGCCTTGGGCCTGAGTGTGTGTCGGAGCCCATGAGCTTCGTTTTGATCGGGCATGTTATGTGATTGTTCGGGATTGCCAAGATTTGCGGAAAGCAAATTGATGCCAGTGGATGTTCGGGAGCTGGTTAGGTATTTTGCAGATGGCTTTCGGGTATTTGGGGTTTTCAACGGTTCAGAGAAATCGAAACCTCCGGGCTTCTCGGTGCGCGCGCTTTCTGGCATCAAGGCTTCCAGCCTGTTTATGCTAGTTTCTTCTTTCTCATCGATAAGGCCCTGGTTTTGCAGCCTTCCCTGGCCTCAAAACAGAAGCAGGTGCTGCGACGAATTTTGCAACCTGAGACCTCGAGATCGCAAGCTTCCAGAGCATGAAACTGGAAGCATGAAAGCCCTTGCTGGTAAGGGGCGTGTGCCTGAGAATCAAGCAGCTAAGGACCAAGGAGGGCGAAACCTTGCTGCCGCTGTCGGCTCATTTGGCAACTCCGAGGTCATTGAGGTGTGTGTTCTTCAGGACTGGACTTTCCATAAGTTTCTGGGAGCTGCCAGTAAAGTCAAGTGGAGCTCCCCGAGCCGGCTTTGAATTTCAGGCTTTGGGTCTCTAGGCGCACGCCATTACTCGTTCGTGACTTCACTCATGCATTGCTGTTGTTCAAGTTTTGTCACATCTCACTCCCTACACTGGTGCACTCATTCACTGGGTTCACTTTGTGCACTATCGCGGCGGTGCGTTCTCTGAGTGCACTTGGTCATAGACTTCACTGATACCACTCGCACTTCATTGATGACCCCCGCACTGGCGCACCCATTCAATCATGAAGCCGCCCAGACACACAGACGGATGATGACGGATGAACTCCCTTACGTCACAGATTTGCATGACTCCCCTTTCCCCAGTCGGTTTGCTCCTCTCCCGCGCTCCATTCACGCACGATCACGCACGGCACACACTGCTCGCTTCACTGCTCAGATACCGTCCTGACTCCCTCCTTCACCCACTCACTGTCTCGCTCGCTGCAGAACCTCGCTCATCCGACCCTGTGCCGCAGCGCTTCACCCATCTCCACCCTCCCATGATTGCATCTATTTCTTCAGCTGAAGCCAGCTTTCGCTGGTATTGTTGTTGAGTCTATTCCAACGCCCGCCAGCAGACCCTAAACCTTAAACCCCGGGCACAAGTTCTTGGTGCTCGAGCAAAAACAGCCTCCAAACAGAGATTGAGAGAGTCCTCCCGCTTTGTAGAGCCATGGAGTACAAGCTGGCAGTGGATTCCAGCAAGAAGGCCACGGAGCTGCCGCTCCTGAGGGTTTGTGGCACCGTGCAGCAGAATCCGCACATGCGTGCCTTCTGGGCCAGCACAATATCTTTCTTCCTTGCCTTCCTGGGCTGCTTCGTAAGACTCTGCAATCTTGTGACTTTTGGGTTCAGCTCGTTTCGACATCTAAGGCTTTAAGGCACACTGATATCTGAACTCCTAGTTACGCGCTGTTTAAGCCGCCAAGGCTGGTTTGCCTTGGCGCCTTTAGGCCTCGAAGTTGCGACCAGCATGGGGACGTGCGAAAACCAGCTCTTCCCTCCCACGGACTTCCCAACACGACCAGCCTACCTGAAGTTCAAGAACTTGAAGAGTGGGCTGAGCTATTGCCAGTATGGTGTCGTCAAGGAGGACGGCAAGCCGATCGATTGCCAAGACGTCCCCGCCGATGTGGTGAGCGGCGCCGGCTCAACCGCTGAGAAGTACAGGCCGCAGGTGCTCGCAAAGTGCGTGTGCACCCCAGGCACAGAATCTTTGTCATAGTTGGATAACATTTTACATGTTTATGGGTAGTTAAACCCAATCAGAATAAAAATGTACTGTTTAATCCTATCCCAACAATGAACTAGGAATGCAAGTCGGTGATAGCGAACGCTGGCGTGGCCTCGGTTGCCTCGACCATCTTCGTGAGGGTTGCCTTGGGGACGCTTCTGGAGCGCTTCGGTCCGGTAAACGTTCAGTGCGGCTTAATGTCCTTTGGGGCTTTCTGGGTGGCAATGGCGGCCGCCATTACAGCTCCATGGAACTACACGCTGATTCGGTTCTTCATAGGTTGTGCCGGCGCCACGTTCGTGACCAATCAGTTCTGGTGCTCGCTGATGTTTGCGCCCAATGTTGTCGGCACGGCCAACGCCACTGCGGCCGGTTGGGGCAACTTGGGAGGCGGCGTCACCCAGATTTTTATGATGTCTGTACTTTTCAATCCTATGGTGGCCTCCGGGTTGGAGCCGAATGTCGCCTGGCGTGTCTCCATGGTGGTGCCAGCGGTCATGTTCGTGGCTTGTGCCATTTGCATGAAGCTCATGTGCTGGGATATGCCTACGGCACGCAACTACGATCCGGCCGTGACCGGCAAGACACAAAAGCCTTCGATGTGGGACTATGTCGAGGTGCTGCGTGATGTTCGCGTCGTGGTCATGATATTCCAATATTCCGCATGCTTCGGCACAGAGCTCGCAATGAACAATCAGTTGGCCACACATTTCCGGACATACTTCCAGATGGATGCAGGTGATGCCAGCGCCTTGGCGGGTGCTTTCGGTCTCATGAATCTTTTCGCAAGATCACTTGGTGGCATCAGCAGCGATGTGTGCTTCAAGTACTTCGGCTTCCGCGGTCGCATTTGGGCCCAGTTCCTTGCACTCTTTTTCGAAGCTATCTTCCTATTCAGCTTCGGAAACGTGGACAATGCGCAGCCTTGGTATGTGGCATTGGCAGTCTTGGTTTGCTTCTCGCTCTTTGTGCAGATGGCTGAGGGCACCTCCTACGGCATCGTGCCTTTTATGAACCGGAAACTTGGATCATTGCATGGAAGATTGTGGGTGATTCGCAGTTGCCATCTGTTGTTGCATTCGTGTGAGACAGGTCAGCACATCAAGTGTGAAGTAGTGCGGTCATGGCAACTACTCATCTTCGTAATTTCTTGTACCAAGTTTTGGTATGCGCACGTCAGGAAGCAGCTCGCAGTTGTGTCCGCGCTTGTGGGTGCTGGTGGAAATCTCGGGGCCGTGATTGCAGGCTTCTGCTTCTACAAGCCGATCCAGGATGCTCTACTGCCTTTCCAGGTTCATGCGGGCTATGTAATGTTTTGGGCGCTGCTGAGCCCGTGCTACTACTGGTCCGAGATGGGTGGCATGTTCCACGGACCGGCACAGAGCTGCGAGAAAGGCAAGACCCAAAGCGGCGAGTACCAGTCTCACACGGAGTCTGTGGCCACCAGTGAGAACTGCATGTGAGCTTTAGCCAAGTTCAGACACGAGGCAGTCTGACCCTCGAGGCTCAGAAAATCCTTACATATGCTAATTCGATTGCTCGAGCCAGTTTTGTGTAGCCGGTCGGTGTCTTCGCATGGAGTGCAATGCACCGACGAGTTCAGGCAGTCCCGCCACTTGGCAACAGCTGTGCGCCGGGCCTGCCATTTCTGCATAGGGTGCCAAGCAAATGACTTGGTGTCGCCAGCGACAGACATGGAAAACAAATGGAGATGGAAGAGCCTGAAGGTGATGATCGTTCGAGGACCCTTGAGCGCGAAAACCACGGAAGGATACTCGGCCCCCAAACCCCATCCAAGGCAGGTCTCAGTCCTTTGCGGCACCTGCTGGCGGCGCTCTGGACGGATGCCGACAGATCAGAGTCCCTGGGTGCAGCTTGCCTTAAGGGCTTTGTGGGGAACGTATATTCGGCTGCGAGGATCAAGCTTCTCAGCTTCAGGGTTTCGGTTGAGAGCCTCTGTCGAACCCATGTAAAATTTTGGACGGTTCGAATACACGAACTGTAAAAACATCAGAAGCTGGCATCGTACGGCAGGGGGATGCTGCAACATGTTGCAACATGACATGGCGTGATTTGATAGGAAACGATATACAAAGATGCCAGATCCAGAGGTGCGGAAACCCAGCATCCTGTGATATAATGCAATGTACTCGCAATTATAGAATGCAGTATACAGTATACTGCATTTCTTAATGTATAATACGAAGCCAAGGCCGAAGGCTTCCTCTCCTGGGCACTCAGCGAGAAAGTTGCCAGCGGCACCCTCGGCTGGGGCCACGCTGCTGCCACGGTGGTGCGGCAGAGCGCAGGCTTTTCGACTTCTTTGAACAAGCCTGTCCCTACCATGTCTCTTCGGCTGCGCGCAGGGAGTTTCTATCGATTTGCCTGTGTCAGACACGATTTTTTGCCGGTGTTCCTTGGGAGGGTGTGTTTTGGGAGATTGCGGTTCCTGAAGTGGCTGGACGCTCCTGAGCTTCGCTCGTGCATCCTCACACACGGGTCCTGACACCCACTCTTGCCACGGCTTGTCCTCACTCCTTCTGCTCCCACCTTGCATCTGCTCTGGTGCTCAACAGTAAGTTTGCTGAAGAGAAAGCCGCGGTGGCAAATCATCAGGTCTTGTTAAGCCCAGCTGCATAAACGGGTGGCAGGCTGGTCGCCTGAACAGGGGTTTGTCAGCGCGGGAGGCTGAGGAACACTACCTTTGGGCTAATCCAGACTCTGAAGCCGGAAACTGGAATAGAAGACTCAATGACTCAATGCTTCAGCTGCCCTCGCCAAGTAAGAGTCCTCTTTGCAGAGCGAATGCAGGTGTCGGGGTGATCCAGGGCCCAGAGCTCACAGCAGCCCTCGGCAGGTGCTCTTGCTGTCGCAGGATCATGTTAGGGACATTTGAGTTTTTCTCGGGGTTCTCCCCCTTCCTTAGGTGCAGAGCCTGGATTCGGGACTCGCCGATCTCTGGCGAGGCGGCCATCACCGAGCAGCACCTGGTCTTTGCAGCAGCCGTAGAGGAGGCTGCACAGGCCCATACGGTGGAGGCTCCGCGCGCAGGTGAGGCGGAAGGGGTCATTGCAGACGGGCCGGTCATTGCGGAGGTGCCGGAAGAAACGAGGCGAGGAACCACAGCGAAGGAGAAGGAGCCCTCGCCACAGGAAGATCTGGACACGAGCCTGGTGGAGAGCATTGAGAAGCTGCTCCGCTGGTCCCAGGCACAGCCCTGCCGAGCAGACACTTTTGCTGTCTACACCGCTGCCCTGTGGCCGGCCGTGTCCACTGCGGATAGCACAGCTGGGAGGCTGCCCTCGCGTATCTGGGTCCTCGTTAAAGTTAGGGTTCTATGTTACGCACCGAAGACTCGTGGTTTGCTTTTTTCCCTGGTATCTTAAGTTCTTGCAGTTCCTTCACCAGAGCCCAGGCATGGTGCGCCTGGCCTTGGAGTCTTTGGGCACCGCCTCGGTGAGCGCCCTGGCGCGCCCGAAGGCCCCGGCGGCTCCGGGAGTCTGGCGCCTAATCGCGGCACTCTGCGAGGCAGGGCAGTGGCCCGAGGCCAACTGGCCCACGGTCCTGCAGGCCTGGCACCTTGGGACTACTTGGGACCTTCGAAGAAGGAAAGCCGAAGCTACTATCTTAACCTGCCAGATCCTGGAGCCCATTGGAGCCCGGAAGGAGCAAGAAATGCAACAGGAAGGTAAAGCTTGCTGCGGGTTCAGTCTGCCTTCTACGAGGCAGTCGCCACATCCAGCAAGTGGCTCCTGAACGTCCACGAGGACAGCACCTTCCCCGTGTCGGATGCGTTCGTGGACGATGCGCCCCGCTTGCATGTTGAAGGTGTGAAGGGCCTTACCTGGAAAGGCACTTCCGGTGCTGAACGCAACACCTTTGTTGCGTGCCGACTCTTTTGCGTGGGCCCTTCGATCTGAACAGCAGGCTCCGAAACTAGTAGCTACCAGGTGAGTTTTGTTGATCTGCCTTGGCGCCAACATGAAGGCTTGCGCCGCGGCCGCCGCGCTACTCCGCTTTGCCCCACGGGCCTTAGCTCCCAAACTGGTGCCCCTGCTCCTCGGGTGCAAGTCTGGGGGTCTGGGTCCGGTCAGGAAGCCGGTTGTGCCTGCAGAGTTTAGCCACAGCGGGTTGCAATTCAAGTTTTGCGTGTCCCTCTTTGGGGTTTGGAGGTTTCGGTGGCTGTAGAACGGAAGGTTCAAGGGTTTGGTGCAGGGTTTCGTAGGGAGTCTCTTGTAAGGTGGCTAGGCCATAAAAGCAGAGTTGGATGTCGTGTCTTCGCACTAAAGATAGGAGAACGATCAGGCCCGAGGCCCTGGGCCATCATGCAAATAGAGCACATTGTGCCGACCAGGGCCCCTGAGCTCACCCAAGTCTAAACCAAGCCGTAAGAACGAAACTCCAAAAGCCTGAAACAGAATATGCACCCTTCAACCCCTCACCCTATAGACCCTACAACCCCTAAAGCACTCAGATTCCTCGCATTTTCCAAGGCTCTCGGCTCCTGACTCGCAGCTGCGCGCTGCCGCTGGCCGGAGGCTGCAAGGACACTGCTGGGTGCCTGGAGATCTCGGATCCGGGGAGGCTCGGATGACTTTCGAGGGTTTCGGAAAATTATCTCAAAGGGGGGGTCCTTGCTTATAAGTCTCCTTTCAATGAGGGTTTCAAGGCTGTTTGGGGGATCCGTTTTTGGGATAAAGGGCTGGCATTTTCACGGATCCATATTTGGGGTCCTTCACCTCTGACACCCTGAGTTGAATATGAATGCTTAGGAAACTGCTCCATGCATTCCTGACTTTGTGGTGGTGCTCAACAGATCCTTGATTCTTTGCCTTAGGCTGGGATGAAAGCTTGCTTGTTCTCGGCCCGAGACAACTCATGGACCCAGGGGTTGCGATTTTCGGAGTTAGGTTCCGGGCATAATTCAAGAATGTTCATGTTCATGTTCATGAAGGTCTGCACCAAAAGTTGCCGCCAATCCTAGCAACCCGAAGCCCGAAACGTGCTACAACCCTAAACGACCGTAAACCTTAAACCTGCACCCACAGCCTCAGAGGTCCCGAAGTTCTTTAGCCCAGGAACACAACCAGGAGCCGAGATCCGAGGACGAAGAGAAGGACTGGATATGTCCCAAGAGCAACATCAATGGTAAGTCTCTATATTATGATTGCTGGGTCGGAGTGCTCATAATGTATATAATTTTGTAAGTATGTATTTGTATATAAACTATGTATCTCATATATGTATATATATATATATACACACACATAAAGATTTAATTCTCAAAAAGACCTATAGCTTAGCATCAATACTCACGACATGAACAGGGCTGATACCATATGTGGACGCGTGTGCGTCTAATCTGCCTGAGCAATCACTGGAGATCATGTTTATGCTATCTGGTACACGATCAATCGATTGGTGTCGGAGTTATTGGAGGCACGAGGGCTTCTGGAGCTTGGTTTACGTGCAATGAAGTTGCAGCCCGTCCGATCAGCCCGGAGCCAGGGCAAAACAAGTTAGTCCCCAAACCATGATACCTCAACCTGGACGCTATACCCAAAAAGACTGACCGCCGAAGCTTGACCCCAACTGATACGATGGTCAGGCTTTGAGTGATCCTTGTGGGAAACACAAAGGGCTACCATCCCGAACCCTAGGCGCTCAACCTTGAACCTCCATACCCTAAGCCGTAAGCCATGCAACCCTGAACCCATAAAAATGAACCCCAAATCCTAAATCTCTAACCTTGAAACCCCTCAACCTCTAAGCTCCCACTCAGCCCCTAAATCCCAGACTCTGGACCCGAACCGCCAACCTGCGAAAGATTGCAGGGTTCTCCCTGGTCCGCATCCCGGGCCCTGGAGACTTTCGGAACTCTTCTGGAGGCCGGGAGGTGTCTTAAGATAGGATAGGAGTTTCATACAGGCTTTACGGCTTTTTGTAGATTGTAGGGTTTGGGTGGAGAAGGAGTCTGGATAGTTCTTAGCAACCATAGCTGTGCCCGTATGGTCTTAATACAGCCAGACTATGTTAGTCACCAAAGCCTATTGCATTCACAGGCCACTAAATTTCTGCCTATGGGAATCCACACGGGTCTTCGAATAATTTGACGAAATCTAAGAGGGACAGAGCGGGTCTCGGCGATCTTTGCTGCTCCGTTTTTTCGCGATGCTTTGCGGTGCTTCGTAGCCAGGGCCTGAAGATCGCATCTGGGTTATACAGCTTCGGGCAACGAATCGAGTTTTCTTGGCAGACGTTGCCTGGCTCCGTCTTTTGTAATCACCGTGTTCCTTCTGAGGCTTTGCAGAGGATACGTCTGATGTTACAATTTAAAAACACGTCCCTTAGCGGGTCCGTGGGTTGGGTTTTGGGTTTGGTGTTTACTGGGGGCTATTGCTTGAGGCCGACTCACTGCCGTCGGAAGCAGCGAGCACGCCAGCCGCCACTTGTCAGTCACTGCTCGGGTGTTTTGGGCCATTGTTCTGGCGGCGGAAGGTTGGAGCAGCTTCTTTGGCCACTTCTGATCTTGCTTTGTCCGGCTGTTGCAAGGCTCAAGGGCCCTCCTGTGGTGACGTGGCCTATGTCGTGCTTGGCTCTGTCTTTGGCCGTGAGCTAACCGATGCAGTTTGGGCAGTCGAGGACTGATCTCGGAAGCTTTCGGAAGTTAGGTGTGCTATAGTTTTTGGGTGAGAGTCTTGACGCTGAGCCCAAGCCTGATCTGCAGCCGGCTCGGTGGGATGTCGTTCTCGTACAGTTGGGTTCCTCTAGCAGTAGCAGGAGGGTGGTTGTGGTTGTGATTCTGCTGCTGCTGCCGCTGCTGGTATTGTGGCTGCAGCTGTGTTGAAGGATTGCGGTGGGTTGTGGTTGTTGGTTGTTGGTCGTTTGTTTTTTGTGGTGGTGCTGCTGCTGCGTTTTTTCCTGCCGCTGCAACTGCGACAAGTACTGCTATACTGCTAAGCTAGCTTTCGGCGTCTCTCGGTCTCCGGTTACGATTCAGCACATCAGGATGTTATGGGACCCGATGTCCGGGTGAACGGTTGGGTATTTAGCTGTCATGAGAAATGCTTAGCCTGTCTAATCAGCCTTACATAAACTCTAAACATGCAATCCTAAACACCGAGCCCTCTACCTTAAACCCTGAACCAGGAGGCTCTCAACGGTGTGGCCGCGTGGGAAACTGACGGAGGTTCGGAGGAGGACTCCGACGAGGAGGGGCCCACGGTGCCAAGTGCCTTGGCGAAGCGACAACGTCAACTTTGGGAAGTTATGGAACAGACGTTATAGGGTCCAGAGCTTTGCAGCTTCAGCTGCTGGTTAGTCGTAAATTCCGCTGCTGCTACTAGTAGTTAGTAGTCGAGAGTCTTCATATACGTCTCCTCTATAGAAACACGAGGACTTGTCGGACGAATTCCGATGTTCCTGTCTTGTTCTCGGGTCTCGGGTGTTGGGTTTGGGGTGAAGGTTCTATGCCCGGGCTCGTGTGAGCTCTGAGCCCATATATGCGTAGTCTGCTTAGTGGCCAGCTCTGATCATCCACTTGCAAGGTTGGGCTGTGCTGGGTTCGGCGTACAGATTGAGATCCAGCATGTTACCGCAAGCTGGCTTTGAAAAAAGCGCAATCCGACGCATGCACCAGTCCATGCGTCATCGTCTCCACGCCATATTTCAGAAAAAGCACGGACGGCAAATGACACTAGTACAATGGCCGTCCTAGATAGTCTACCAGGGCCGAAAGCTGCAAAGACGTGAACCTTAAACAGCCTGAAACTCTAGACTCTACAATGGTACGTACTGTATGCACGTTCATGATGTCATCGATGGTGTAGCTCGTTATGCAGGCTGCCATACCAATAAAGAACCACAACACTGATCATCATTTCAAAAGGGACACGACATTGTGTTCAGAGCAATTAACGGAAAAACCACAGGACTTAAAGCACCACTGCTCATGTGCTTTGGGTGCTTTAGCACAGGTGCGGCATCTGTCTCTTCGTCGCACCGCAGTTCCTTGGAATTCACCGGAGCTAGCCTTTGGGAGCGAACATGCTTCCTTTCAGTGTCGGATCGACGGCTAAGGGTTGGAGTTCAGGGTTTCGCATTTTAGGGTTTTGCAAATCCCGCTGAAGATTCCAAGGTCGAGGGTGCAGCTTCTTTCTCTGGCAGCTGTTATCCATGGTGACAGGTGTTGTTCGAGACTTTGTGATCTGCGATGTTGATGGGGTTGTGGTCCTGGAGGTCTGGTTGGGGACGAATGCCGCTGTTGGGAAGCGAACGTTTAAGGACGTGGATGTTCTGGTGTTTGGAATTGTTCGTGGCCTCTGTCGGCTGCTAAAGCTGTTGTGGGACTCGTTTGTGAGATTCTACGCTGCATACATATATCGTATCATATATCTGTGCAAAACGTGAGTGTGGCCAACTTGTAAGACATTGTAAGATCAAGGACGTTCATTGACAACTTTTGGATCAGCGCATCGGAAGCTGAGAAACGCGCATACAGACCCTAAGCTCTAAACTCCAAGACAATCACAGGCCTGCGACGAAGCAAGCATCCTGAAACCTCAACCCTACTCCCACCTCTCGTCGAGGCTACGGGAGGCGCTTCCGATTGGCCGGCGCAGAGCAAGGCGCTTGTCAAGCAGTTGCGGCCGTGGTTCGGCGTTGGTTTAAAGCAGAGGCCGTAATTACCAACTGCTGGAGATGAACATGCGAAAAGGCAGTTCACCACACCAGCGCAGGTTCTGAGACAGTTCGAAGCTGTCAGGGCACTGCTTCACGATGCTCAGGCTCCGAGGTTTTATGAACTTGCCACTCCCGGGCAAAGCTGGAGTGTTGTATGCCGAAGTCGCAAAGGCCATCCGTCAAACCGACTCTGCTGCAGGCGCCTTGGAGGATCCATGCGCCGACCCAGCAACACCAGCAAGCAGCATCTTGATGCCAATGGTCGTAGTGTTGAGCTGTTCGGGATTGGGGTTGATGTTTGTGGGTTTTCGCATACAGGGTTTTGGTTGTGGTGGCTTGCAATTGATGAACTGATGATTTTTCTCTGGGGTTGGAATCGGGACAGTATCGCCGGTTGAAAGAGCAACGAGACTTAAGAAATGGTGAACACTACATGGCTTGGCATTCGAGCTACTATAAAGATTGAATATGCGGCAGCGTGTCGATAGTGTCACTTCGATCCGTGTGATTCCGCAACACATGTCGAGTCTTCCAGGCAGCTGACACGCTTCATGATGTGGTCGTGCACTTGCATCCAGTAGCGAGGTGGATGATCAACAGGACAATCAGAGAACAATGCCTTACCGGATCAAGTCAAGTGAACTGAGTAACTGAGTGTTTCTAGTCGGTAGTAGCCACACATACTGTTGATATGCACGTATCCATACACGACATGTCTGCTCATGTTCCTGTCTCTGTTTGTTGCGAGCTTGTGATGTGGTTGATTGTGGGGCGATGATGAAGAACATGATGATCGCAGTAGTGCTGACTGCAACATTGAGGCTGTAGTAGTTGGGGTAGTGGTTGTGGCTGTAGTAGCACAACAGCAGCAGAAGCAGAAGCGGTGGCAGTCGTGGTGGTAGTGGAGTACTAGCACTTGCGGAGAATAGGGGAACATCAGCCGCAGCATTCTAGAAGCAACAGTTGGCAGTTGATGGTCAGTGATCGACATCAGCCACCACCAAGCGGTGCAGCAGCTCACTTAACTTAGCTGCGAGCTGCTGGATCGCCAAAACCATGATGACCGGGATGGCGAGTTGGTCACGAAGACAGTTGCCACAAGATTCCACTGCGAAAATCACGAGTGCAGTAGGAAGGATGCAACTGCCTGGAAGGAAATCAAGCTTGATGGCGAAAAATTGGACGCTGGTGATATAGGACTCTGCAGGCTTGACCCCAGACAGAGACGAGCCCGAGAGGCAAGTTCACGTCCACCCTAAGGCCTGAAACCCTAAATCCAAAAGAGCCCTTTCTCACGAATCTTGCAATTACGACTCTGTTGACATTTAGCCCCTGCCCACCGCGCTACACTTTGAGGCTCTCGCGGCCGACGCAGAGCCTGGCTGTCTGCTGCGGACCAGCTGCCATTGCTTTGGCCTCGGAGTTTGCTTCGGTTTTTGCCTTGGGTGATTGTGGGAGTAGTAGGGTTCATGTATAAGGCTATTGTAAGGTTTTTCAAGACAGCGCCAGCTAAAGCGTGTCACGAGGTGTGCGCCGACCGTGAGATCTTCGGACTTGTGGGTTCGATGTGAAACTGGGGCGTTACGGGGTTCATTTTCGTGATGTTTGAAGGACTGCGACCGAAGATTGATCAGGGTTCGTTAGTTGCGGGTCCGTTCACGCTCATGAGTTTCATGGCTGTAGGTGGAAGGTTTCGGGTGCTTGAGATCGAATGATCTCCATCGTCATATTCGCCTCTAAGAACTCACACAAGAGTTCATTATAAGTGCTATGGCTATCACTGTGTGAGGTGCTTGCCGGCTTGCGGCTTCTAGTTGTCCGTTTTTGAAAAGTGGGTCGAGGCTCCTCAAGATTTATCATTTCCTGGGTGCTTGATGAGGCTCCACCCTTTCGAGGCTGCAACGGAGCTCTGGCTCAGGATGCTTCTGCCCCCGAACTGAGCGCTATGTATATAGATAGACGTACATTTTGTTATTTGGATATGTATTTTTGTTCGTTGGTTTATCCTTATATTGATTGTCGGGTCAAAGCCAAACAGTTTGGATTTAAAGCATTGTGGTTTGGGGAGCTCGATTTTGACCCTAGACCCGAAGAGATGCGGGGATTGGAGCCTTCAGCAGAGGCCCTTGGATGTCGAGCACGCCTGCGCAGCGTCACTTGCTGCCTGGGAGACACTTCTTCGAGGCACCACTGTTCCTCCTCGTCGTTGTCATGTCTGCTGTTATTGGAGATGCCTGCTGTCTCGTGCAGATCCAAGCGATCAGTCCATCAATCTTAGCGGCCAAACACAGGGAAGCTTGATTTCTGAAGTGGAGGTCCTGAACCCTGCAAACTCCCATCATATACCACGCATCAATGCGTTCCCCCTGCAGGCATCGACAAGGGCCTCCAGGAGAAGGGACGCCACATGCAGGTGACAGACTTGGGTCTAGAGTCAAGAGCTGCGGTCAAGGCTTCTGGGCCTTTCAACTTTACTGTAAAACCTATCCGTGTTTCGATTGCAGAATTTCTGAGAATTGGGTTTTCCGCCGTGCTTCCTGTGGTCAGCTTCGACCATGTCGACATTGCCACCCCGACTTTGGCAGCCGTACTCCTACATTTTTCGCCGAAACCTACAATAGCTTCCTTCTGGAGTCCAAACCGCTGAACTCCAGCATTCCCCAACAGCCTGGACCAGTCATAGTGAATCACCTCTGACATGATCAAGTCCGAATCTGTAGTTGTTTGATACCTTTTTGTTGCAAGAACTACTGGAGCCAGAACTTTAGCAAAACTCAGTGATCGAGCCAGGAAAGCTGCCGGAAGCTCGGGTGTGCAAGCTCTTCTGGCAGAGCGTTTCAGAGCGTTGAAGATGGAAGCATATGGCATCGGGGTCTACAAGGTATGAGGGTGACCTTGTGCTCCATGCACAGGATGCTTTGGGCTTTGTGCATTGAGCTGCAAAAGGTCTGCTAGGGTTGTGGGCAACGGTTCAGGGCTTGGCTGCTGTAGATGGATCTGATGCGGGATAAGTAGCACGGTCATTCCTTTACGAAAGCTGCATAAGTATCCGTTGAAGCAAGATAGGGCACTAGTGATTTCTCAACAGACTACTCTCACGCTGAGCCTTCGCTGTCGTGCTCGTGGCGATGAGCAGGTAGCTTTAAAGGTATTCAGTAGCAAGCCTTGCCTTCGGGTTTGGCTCCCTAGGAATCTGAATCCATGCCCTTGGAATGAGAGCCAGCCGAGGAAAAAGCCAAGTCCCAAAGCCTGGGTTCTTGTTCAGGGATTAGGCGACCCTAGTAAGGAAACCATATTATGTACTATAGATCCCTATTATGGTAACTTAAGTTAAATTCAATTCCTTAGAACCCAGAAGCGGCTTCCTTCAACTCTATACCCTAAACCCCTAAACCTTAAGCCCCTGACCTGCGCTGGGAAAAGGCAGCCACTCGGCTACAGGCGCTGCCAAGGCTCTGGGCTTTGCGCTTGCCGTTTAGGGTTTTCGGGTTTCAGGGTTTAAGGGTTTTAGGGTTTAGGGTAATTATTCATTGTAGACTTAGAACAAGTGGTATTGGATCGTCTGACGAAGTTGCCCCCAGTCACCTGGAGGATGGAGCGTCTCC